AATCCAGTCGGATTTTCAATACAAGCGTCAAGTCAGTCAGTTCTTCTATACGGATCGGATCAGAAACTTGGCGGGCGGGCTGGTCAAAAAGAATATTTCCAACAGCCTATTGCAGACCTTTATCAACAACTGTCTTCATTGGATCTATACTGAAGATCAGATGGCCGGGCTGGAAAGAATCGCCCACAAGAAACTATAGGAACAAACAAACAAAAGAAGAAGCAATCGCCAACCAACAAATATACAGTTGGAGAAAGTGGAGATGGATTGGACACTCGCTCGCTGAGAAGGCAGGCCGCTGGGTGACATCGCGAGCGTCAGGCCATTGCTCGAGTGGAACCCGACTGATTGGAAAGTGGCGAGTGGGTCGTCGGTGCAAGGGTGACATGGAGGGGGTTGTGTGAAGAGGAGTTGAAACAGTATGGACTAACATGGATGGAGGTGAAAAGTACAGCAGAAGGAAGACAGAATCAAGTGTAGACGTGCAGTTGAAGCCCTATGTTCCACTAGGAACCCAAGGGAACAATAATAATATAATAATAAATTATGAAGCCATGTGAGTGCAATAATATGATTATTAGCAGCAATGAATGATTTTAGAAATTTCATCTAGTTATCAGTAGCGTATTAGTGTGAAATAATATAAAATAAACTTATCTAATATGGAATTCATGACTGCGTAGATTCACTGTAGAATATCCCTTTCGAAGCTATTTAGTCATAAGCATTAGATTCACATGCAGATTTTGAGGTTTTAATTAACTTCTCATACATAAACAGTCATTTCGACTCAATAAAACTCATTATGGAAATAGAGAATGAAATTGGGGAACTGCCTATGTTAGACTGCAAAATACAAAGAGTAACAGATGGTAGGTGGTATAAAAACGACGCTATATTGAGAAACGACACATTCCGAAAGATTCCTTGATTATCACTCAGCTTATCCATTCACGCACGGTGAAACGAGGATTAATACAAGGTCTTGCTGATAGAATACATAGAGGACTTCCAATAACACCACAGGACCAGTGTAAAGAAATAAACGTCCTATTCAAAATGTTACTCGACAACAACTATCCGAAAGAATTTATCAAATATAATTTTAAAAAAAAGAAGAAGGTAAAACCAGAGAATAAAAAGACGAAGGAAGGCAAAAAAAAAACAGTCAGGATACCATACAAAAATGGTACATCAGAGGCAATTCGAAGAAACCTCAAAAATATTGGCGTTCGAACAACGTTTAAACCGATGAATCTAATCAAAAATAAAATAAATCAACTGAAAGATCCCATAAAAATGATGGATAAAAACAATGTGATTTACAAACAGATATCTTGTACCGAGTATGCGTCTAAATATGTGGGGCAAACGTCCAGATCACTTAAATTAAGAGTGAATGAACATAAACGCCTGACCAAAGGTCAACCAAAAGGAACAAAAGCTTACAGGAATTTAGAAGAAAATTCATCAATAGCTGCACATGCATGGGACAATAATCACAATATCGATTGGAACAATGTGTGTATTCTAAATATGAACTAATATGAACAAATGGAAAGAGAGACTTATAACAGAATCTATATTCGTTAAGGTCACTCCGAATACATGTAACAAGGTCGACTCAGCAGTACAACTGTCAACAACCTGGAATACAATTCTGAATATACAAGAATGAATGAACCAAAAAATGAACTATATATATTTGAGTACAAATCATAAATGTGTGAATTAAAAACAAAACAATTCCGACAGTGGTGTGAACACGGGCAGTAATTTTGCTCGAAATACTAACAATAACAAAACTTATCGTTGTGTGTAAACTATTGGAATATAATAACACTTTATTTAATCTGTTTCACAATATGCAAACTTTTTACTGACATTAACAAAGCATGGTTGTCATCATAAAGAATTACTAACTAACTTAGTGAGACTGTGAGTAAACACCGATGGTATCGACCAAAACTTATGTTATAATCTGAACGCAGGAAACCAGTCTTTGGGTTCTACCTTATAGCTGTAACGACAGAAAACAAGAGCCAGGCAACAGATTGTTTGTTGAGAAAATCAAGAGAAATTTATAGATTTTTATGTACATTATTATTCGTTATCGTTAGCACAAGAACATCGTGTTCTGATTGGTTGTTTTCCTACTGAAGATTATTCTGTCATCATCTTTGTTGCCGTTTCTTAGACAGTCCGTTGATATATCTGCTAATCGTATCCATCCACGCTAAGTCTGCTGTGATTGGCTGTTGAGTTCCTCAGTGTTACTGTTTTATCTCGTGACCCGGATTCGGGAAGTAAACATTGACGTAAATTGGTGTCTACAATTTTGGCTAGCAGACAGCTCTCACCACATAGCTAACCGAGATTTCTCTAAGTTACTCACGGTCCCAAAAGTGTTCCAACAATAGTAAATAGATAGCTATTTGCGATAAAATCTGTGATACTATTTAGCGATGGTAACGTATCAAAACTCATAATGACCTCAACAATGCTGTTAGGCAGTTTTTAAAAAAATCCAGAGCTCTCTCAAATACAAACACTATAAAGCCAAGATCAACCGTAAAAAGTACTCGGGAATCAAAGAGAATATCCCCAATAAAGTGGGATTAAAACACTGTCACTCACCAAACACTTCCCTCAGACACTACACGGTCGAGATCCCCTCGGCCAACCTTGACCTTATTCGGACAAAAACACAATTGTAGACTGTGAAGGCCATCGAACAACCTCAAAGAGAGTCTTTTAAATTGTGGATTACACAAGAATAAAGACAAATAATAAAAAGAATTAAGTCAATGTTAGGACAATGATATACAGCCTGGAAGAGAAGAGGAAAATAACTACAAAGTTATTTGAAATAAACAGGTAAGTACCAATATTGGAACTGGATCGTTCAAGAGGGATTTTCGAAAATAATTATCCCGTTATACTGTTGGTGAACTCCAATCTAGGACAAAACGGCTATCAGTTGCTCATGAGTTTTGTATGGCATGTGACAGTCAAATTCACATGAAACCACAGAAGAATACAATGGCATTATTGTAATCAGTTTTAAGTTTTTTTACTTGGGCTTTCGTATCTTCCCAGCTCCCCTCAATAGTAAATTCATGTTTCAGGATTTTTAACCATCTTAAAATATATGTGATGAATGAATGTTGTCAGTATTTAATGTTATCCAATGAATAGCTACTCAATGAAGGATTTCATCGTGAGTTGAGATCAGTTAGAGAACCATTGGAGACGATTCAACAGTACGCACCCACCATCGGGGCTCAAACACAGGACCTTCCGCTTACAAGGCTAACGAGCTCGTAGACCATTAGGCCGCTGGGACCTTGTCCAATGGCCGATGAATTCTAACTTCTGCCATATAAAACTCCCTAAAAAACCAATACTTGAAAATAAATCTAATGCTCACTAGCAACTGGCCCTATTCAGACAGTTAACCTGGGGTTCTAGGGGTAAGCCGTGGCCAGTAGGGTACAGCAGGTTGAAAGTGAGGCGGTAACTCATCGAAGAAAACATTGCGAAGTGGTATCTCTATGTCGTGCGTGAATTGGCAGAAGTAAGAATTCATCCACTGGCCATTGGATCGGGTCCCAACGGCTTAATGATCTACGCACTAACTAGCTTTTTAACCAGAAGATCCTGGGTTCGAATGCCTGTGGTGGGTGCGTACTGTTGAATCGTCCCAAATTAGGTGGACGAAACGGCTATTCAGTACTCCCTCGTGGTTTCCCAATGGTTCTCTAACTGATGTCAGCTCATGATGAAATCCTTCAACAAATCAAACAAAACAAAAAATCTCAACAAAACCAATACTTGAGAATAGCTATTCCCCAAGTAATCCACAACGGGAAACTTACGGAAGCCTTTGAAGTGAGGACGGGAGTGAGACAAGGCTGTCTACTATCGCCAATGATCTTCCTGAGTGCAGTGACAGACAACGGGCGATGAGGAAACAGGCATAAAATTGACTCACACAAAAAACAAACTTGGAGGATCTGGACTTCACCGATGTCACATATATGTCTGATTTCCCACAAACTGGAAGATATGCAAGTGAAAAGCCACAAGCTGGCAGAAGAAGCATCCAGAGAAGATAGAACTTCAGGTGAACATAGATAAAACAGAGGTGATGAAGATTCCTGGCCAACACCAACAACAACAACAGAAAACAATTAGCCAGTATAAATGGAGGGAACCCGAAAGAAACAACCTCCTTTACCTACCCACTTACCTGGGAAGCATCGTCTCAACTACAGGTGGAACTGACGAGGATATCAAAGCCAGAATCGGAAAAGCAAGACAAGCTTTCATTACTCCCAAATCTGTGTGGAGGTCAACAGCACGCAGCATCAAAAATCAGATCCGGATATTCAACTCCAATGTGAAGTCAGTGTTACTATACGGATCAGAGACTTGGCGCCGTGTCATACAGAGCATCTCAAACAAACTTCAGACCTCTATTAACAGTTGTCTTCGCCCAATACCACTCAAAATCAGATGGCCGGCCAGAAAAGATCAGCAACAGAGATCTCTGGCAATGAGCCAACCAACACATCAGGAACCGATTGTGAAACAAATAGGCAGGAAGAAATGGAGATGGATTGGCTTGTCCATACTCTGAGGAAACCATCAAGTGACATCACTAGACAAGCCATTGCTCGAGTGGAACCTGAAAGGGAAGCGGCGAGCTGGTCGTCAGTGCAAGGGTGATTCGGAGGAGGTCATGCGAGGAGGAGATGAAGGCATGTGGACAGACCTGGATTGGGGTGAAAAAGTTGTCAGAAAACAGAAGGCAATGGAGGTGAGCAGCTGAAGCCCTATGTTCCTCTAGGAACTAAAGGATACAATAATAATAATTCCTTTGAAACAACTAACGTTAATATGAAGTGCATATAATTCCAGACCAAAAGTCATATACTCTCATTTATGACATATTCTTTTTCAAACACCTTATTGATATTTTGTGTTTATTTTTATAGTTGTCGATTCTTTTTACGATGGAAACACGGTACATGTGAACCATGTCCGCCTATACGCTCCGAAGGGGATGAAGTGATCACATTTAGTTATGTACAAGAACTAGAAAGGTGTCCTGAATTATTGGAACCTGATGTCGCCTTTACTCAACGTGCAAAACATCTAAATCATGATGTTGTAGAATTTTTAAAACGTTTAGCACGTTATTCACTTTTATGGCATCAGGATAAGGTAAGTATATATTTTATTATTCTACGAAAAGTATTCCTCACCCAGGTGCGTCGGTGGCACAGTGGTAGAATACTGTCCGATCACGCCTCATATGGTCCGGGGTTCTATCCACAGCCACAGACACACTCCTTTACCTCTCTAAACCAGTAAAGAGGCAAGGTCGGGCATGAGACCAGCAGCAACTTCATCCTGTAAAAATAAACACCACTGCTACCAAAAATTCAAGTCTCTCGCTTGAAGCACTATGTTCCACTGGGAACACGAAGAAATACAAAAAAATTCCTTACCCAAATGATGGGACATTTCATCAGGTTTACACAGTTACATTGTGATAACCGTATTTCATCAGTTGTAGACGAAACGAGCTATAATAATTATGCAACCTCATTTCATTAAGTCACATTGTTAGGGTATACAGAAAGAAGATACTGCCTACTTGTAGATATAAAGATACTAAAACCTGGTTATTTGGCCCTGTTTAACCTAAATTTTCGCTCTGGTTAGCTCCGTTCTCTTGGAACTTCAGAGAAATTCGTCTTTCTTTTAAGGATTCCGATCTACGTTATTCAATATTGAAAGTAGCGAAATAAAGGTAGGATTTGAAGTAAAGTCTACAGTTTCAGGGCTGGGTAAAGTATGTTCCAAAATCATGGATAAGACAAGCTTCTGGAAGATTTGATTTAATTCATCATCTAGTGCAGAAACTAAGGTCAAACGAAACTTCAGGTTGATTAGTTAACTTCAATTCCTACTAGTTGACTTACTGAGAATTAGAGGGTCCGTCGTTATTCACCCATAATACAGAAGTATAATATTCGAATACTATCACCACACTGAGAGGTCATAGAAAGAATTAGGCGAAAGTAAGATTTATCTCTCCTGGGAAAATTTAACTGATCAGAAATTATGCCTTTTAGAACTATAGTTGTGTAACCTAATCAATAATTTGGAAGTTGAATTCACGGATACAGTACTGTGAATGATTGGTTACGTATCCACAAAGAAATTCAGCTATCTAAGCTTTGATTTAGGTTAGGGTCAAGGATTTAGTTCACAGATTACAAAGTACGTACTGACTAAGTTCTCACATCTAACAGCAACTCCAGGTGGAAGTGCTTTCGCTTTACTTTTTATGAGAAGTAATATATTAGATTATGTCACTGTCTATAAGATGATTAGTAAGGAGTTCTAGACTGTTGTAAAGCATCACAATAATTCCTGTTAAACATATGGCACATTTTAAAGCATTTTTAGAGTTGGAAAAACCTCACTCTCTTTTACATAATGTTGGATGTAGACAGTTTGTAGGTAAAGGTAAATGCACTTTCTGATCATGAAGCTTATATAATCACTTGGCATTTCACTCGATGAACAGTACTCAGTTGTATATTACAATGATAGAAAGAAGGAGAAAATGCATAAATGATATGACAGATGTAACTGCTATGGTTCTGTTTAGAGTAGAATCAAAGAACAGATTTACCCGGAACATTTCATCACAAAAGCTATGAAGCCCAAAACACAAAAACCATCCATGCTTACTGCTCCCAAGAAACTTCTCTATTTGAATCTACAAGTCAACGGAGATTCTTCAGCAGAAATACTGAGAAATCGGCTGTGCCGTTCACTGAAGAAAACCTTCTTCTCAGCGGAACTCAGACTAACTTTTTCTACGAAACTAATGATTCGCACGAACGTGAAGGATAAGCTTCCACTGGGGGCCTCATCAATGTGCATCTACCAATTCACCTGCTCATGTGATTTGCTATCCAAACGAATCAGCGAACACTTACCTTCATGGTTTTATAAAGGAGAAAGAAGATACCCCCGCCACAGCTCTATTCTAGAACATTTGATGGAATCCGGACACCAAGCAAACCCATAAAACAACATCTCAGTTATCTACACAATACGTGGGAATCTTACCAAAAGAGTACGAATTAAACTTCTTCAAACTGCAGAAGCAATGGCAATTCACATATTGAATCCTGAACTCTGCATACAAAAGAAGTTTTTTCAGTCACTAAATCTACAATGGTCCTGATCTATCTTAACACCAAATACGTAATTTTGTCTTACCTCTTTCTTCTTTGTTTGTCTATTTCTTAATTGCATTATTTTCTAACCCCACCCTCTATTAAATCTCTACGCTCATGATGACTGTTGCTAACTCGATTTTCGTTTATTTTTAAGTGAATTCTACTCAGCTTATTAACTTGACTCTCATTCATTTTTTTATTGAACCCTATCAATTAGATTACGTCACCCAACCTACTTTTGTAACTTTATTTTAGTTTCTAATCAATTAACCCCTTTAAAATTACGTAATTTGTTTGTCAAAAACTAACAATTGCATTAACATATCTTTGGAAATATTCCTTTTGTTGCCAAGACAAATTACTATAAATTTGCGATTTGTACAGCTTGAGAATGATATCGCTGAAAAGAGTAACTCTTTGCTGAACACCTTTTCTTTTCTATTTACATTTTTGACAGTTCTGGCATTCCAAGTGGTATTGTAACAACAGAAGACAAGGGCCAGGCAACAGATTGTTTATTAAGGAAATCAACACGTATTTATATATTTTCATGTACATTTTTTCCCTTCACGTTCCCAGTGGAACATAGGGCCTCAAGCTAGTGGCTTGAAGTTTCTGTAGCAGTGTTAAATTTTACAGGATGGGTTGCTAGCCAGCCTTATGCCCAACCTTTCCTCTTCACCATCATTTTTCTGGCTTGGAGAGGTGAAGGAGTGAGTCAGCCGGGTATCGAACCCCGGACCATGTGCATGGTTGGCGAGCGTCCTAACCGCTGTGCCACCGACGCACCTTCATGTACATTATTATAGCTTATTCAAACAAACAAACAAACACAGTCTTCTTATTGGTTGTTTCTCATAGAAAGTTGACGTTGCATCTCTTTGTGACTGCTTCTTGAATGTCAGGTCATCAATATGTTAACTGTATTTGCCTACGCCAAGTCTGCTGTGATTGGTTGTTGAATCAGTCCTGTTCATATTTTCTCACGACTAATATTTGCAACATACCCATTGACGTAAAATACTGTCTACCATTTTTGGCCAGCCTGCCCTCACCACAGTATAAAGGGCTTTAAGTTTTAAAGCTTCACCAGGAGTGCCGCTTTTCACGAAGTAGTTAGTCTCACGCCTAATTTTCCTTCTTTCAAAAAAAACAACTGACAGTCAGTTAATAAATTTGTTATCAATTAGGATTAAGTCGACTGAGAGTCTAAACCTAGAACCTTCTGTGTGGCTAGCGAGCATCCCCCAAAAACAGTTTTAATCATGGTCTTGATGCTTTTTTTGTCTTCCTACAATTTGCAATACAGATGTTTCTAGGTACCTGACTGAAAAATAAACAGAAAACTTGAGTTTCTGCCTTTTCAAATTTTTAAATATTCCCCTTTTTAATATTAGAACAAGACAATATAAGCGAACAATATTGTTGTTTTCAATTAGATCTTCTTCAGGCTTTACTCTAATTTACATTTTTATATATAAATCTATGTAAATTAGAGTAAAGCCTGAAGAAGATCTAATTGAAAACAACAATATTGTTCGCTTATATTGTCTTGTTCTAATATTAAAAAGGGGAATATTTAAAAATTTGAAATCACGTGAGGATTCCAGTGCATTAAAAGCACTCAGTGAGTACTTAAAGTATAATGCCAGACTTACAGAAGCAAATTCCCGATCACTGAGACATTATTTATTTATTTTTTTTATTTTTGATTTACAGCTTGATTCCACACCGTATTTTTGGTACAAGCATGGAATTTTCAGCGTGGATATCGGTAGCCCAAATTTCGCAGGCCGACCATAGATATCGGATGTGCGTCGGCGTGGGCTCGAACCCCGGACCATTTGCATGGTAGGCGAGGATCCTAACCACTGTGCCACCAACGCACTTAACCAATTGGATACTTTAAAAAAATTTACATTTCGGATATAGAAAGAAATTTGTCGCAGAAGAAATTTGCGGTTGATGAACTCCCTGAGGGTTTATTATTTGATTTCAGGGAATATGTTGCCAGAGTTAGCCAAAATAGAGTAGAGAAAAGGAGAACGAAACGTATCAAATCACTAGACAGTCAAAATCCTGATAAGGAATATCCCTTCATTCTCTCCACACCCTTATCGGTACATCCATAAATTTTCTGGCTTTTAGCGTTAAAGTTTGGAGCTCTGTGTGGTCATTAGACTGACTTTCTATGGTAGGGCTATTAGCCCTACATCCGGACTTTACTCTTGGTCCAGACTTACGACGATCTGTTAGTTAACTTGACAAGGATTTATCTGATCAACTTCAATAATTAAGGAAACAAGTTGTCTGTTGAATTTTTTAACTTAATAACCGGAATTTTATCTGAAAATAGAAAGATTTTAAAACTTTCTTTTTTTGCATTTTTGTTCATATTTTTTTCATTAATTTATTTGTTTATTTTACATTGACAGCAAAATATTGTTGATAAATGGATTATTAGTAAAACGCCAACAATAAAAGATTTTGAGAATCGTTTGAGTCAGTTAACATCTCGTTGGCAGGCATTAGAGCATTCACTTGGACCGAAAAAGTTAGTTTATATCGGTGCTGTTGCTTTACGACTTCATTCATTTTTTAACAATGTCACCTCAAATGTACGTGATTGGATAAGAATTTATCTACGTTATTTATATGAATCAGCTGAAAATTATTATAAGACAGCAATAAAAACATTACTTGTAAGTTTTGACAGTGTTGTTAATATTGAAGTTATGCTAGATTATTATTATTATTGTTTCCCTCAGTTCCTAGAGGAACATAGGGCTTCAGCCACACGCCTTCCCGTAGGAGCCTTCGGTTCTCTGCCAACATTTTCACCTGGCTCCATGTCTGCCCAAATGCTTTTATCTCCTCTTCACATCACCTCCTTCCCCCATGTTACCCTCGCAATGACGGCCAACTCGCTGCCTCCTATTCAGATTCCATTCGAGAGATTGCCTGGCGTGTGATGTCACTTGATGGTTTTCTCAGAGTATGACCAGACAATCCACCTTCATTTATTCCTGCAGATTTGTTGCACAATTGGTTCCTGGTGGGTTGGTTCGCTTTCAGATATCCCTTCCTGTTGCTGATATTTTCTCATCGGCCATCTGATCTTGAATAGTAATGAGAGAAGACAGTTGTTGATGAAGGTGTGTAGTTCGTTTGAAGTGTTCTTCATAACGCGCAAAGTCTCTTATCCATATAGTAGCACTGAGTGACTTCACATTTTGGAGTTCACCTGAAAGAAGTCCTATCTTCTCTGGATGCTTCTTTTGCCAACTTGTTGCTTTTCACTTGCATATATTCCAGTTTGTGGCAAATCAGATATAAATATATCATCGCCAAAAGTTCAGATCCTCCAAGTTTTTTGTATGGGTCAACTTTATGCCTGTCCTCTCATTACTCGATTTCTGTCGCATTACCCAGTCTACCGCCCAAAATCAGGAAAATCACTGGAGATAGTAGGTAGCCAGCTTGTCTTACTCCCATCTTCATTTCGAAGGGTTCCGTGAGTTTCTCGTTGTGGATTACTTAGCATGCAGTATTGTCGTACAACTGTTGGATGAGATGTACAACTATTGGCGACACCCCGTAGTGGCGAAGTAGTTTCCGAATCACCTGTCGATCAATGTTGTCTGCTGAAGGCTTTTTCAAAGTCAATGAAGTTGAGTCAAGTAGAGAGCTGACAGCCATTCCAAGCTCCATTCAGTGATGAAGTTATTATAAATCTCTAACTTTATTTCATGTTCTGTCATATTGAATGGTAATGATTATTATTCATCCCTTGAGTTCCGAGCGGAATACAGGCCTGTTATGTACTGGTCGAGAATTTAATAGTCCTGACGCAAGAAAGACGGAAATCAGAAGACCACTAGGTTTGCGATGATACTTCTATTTTCCAAACACAAGGAGAATCAATATGTCCCACAAGAGTGTGAGAGCAAAAATATATATATGAATGTCCGAACAAGTGTGTGAACACAAGTGTGTGAGCGAATATTCAAAATGAACAAATCAATAGACAGTCTTAACATGATTGGCTAATTATAATGGAATATCGATCCATATATATACCTAGCAAATATAACAGACATGTCAAACAAACACACATATTATATATAATATAAGGGGAATATACATTGTTAAAGGAGACAGGTTCATCAAAGTGAAATGGTCACAGACTAAGAGAGCAACAGAATGAGAGACCACCATATATATATATATATATGGATACATATCAATTTAAATATTTTAAGCATTACTAAGTAATCGAATTACGCAACAAAATTTTCCATCACTTTAATGTCTCATTTATTGTTTAGGAGAAAAGAGCTGTACTACGCAAACGTCCAACTACACTAACTGAAATGAAAGCTTTACTAACAGTTATTACAGAAGTACACGGTGGAGCATGCGAGTATATTGATGATCTTGAACAAAAAGTATCTGAACGCTTAAGAATTATTCGTCTATTTGCAGATGAGGTAATTTATTTTACATATATGTGTACATATATTATTTATTTGGCTTTTGTAAGTTATATTGTTGCAGATAACATGATTAAATTTATCCGGAATGTTACGAAATCCTTGAAATTACTGTACAATAATTGAGTTTAAATTCTACGTTCAGCACAATCGTTTGCATATCAACAAATTCGGCTGACAAAATGCAGTGGGAGTTGTGGAAATATTCACTGCTATATATGTTCTGTTATTTAAATACCAAGTCTTGATAACAAGCGATCAATTAAAGTAGCTCATTATAGAAAATCGTCCAGTAGAACTTGAGTTTAAGTGTTTCTATACTGATTTATCCAAAATAGCTGAACAAAACAGAGAGGAGTGTTTTGGTCTAGGGTATTTCGAATTCCCATTTGATGTATATTGGACCTAACTGCGCAGTCTAAGTTGTAAAGTCGGCTGACATAGAGCTGTTATGGATTTGTAGCCTAATGTATGATAATTTAGTGTTTGAAACAATGAATATTTAGTGCCAGTCTCACTAGATTACTGTCATTTACTGAGAATCCACAAATACACACCTGATGAATCCTAGATAGGACCAAACGCGCATACTGCATTTTATTCATAGCCTCTACCGATAGAGTAAGAGTTGGGAGTTTAGGAATATCAGTTTTATGCTTTCAACACTTCAATGGTTTTTTAGGTGTGCGTCGGTAGCACAGTGGTTAGGACTCTCACCGACCATGCACATGGTCCGAGGTTTGATCTCCTGCCGACACACACCTGATATCTTTGGTCGGCCTGCAAAATTTGGGCTACCGATATCACATGCTGAAAATTCCATACTTGTACCAAAAATACAGTGTGGAATCAAGCTGTAAATCAAAAATATAAAAAAAAATATAAAATAAAGCAGTGAGAAGAACTAATTTGAAGTTTTATGTTTAGCTTTCTAACAAACAACCAAAGAATGTTCTTTTGAACTCACTTGTTGATCATCAGAATGCTTCATATATAAGTAAGTCTCGAGGATAAACAGAACCGTCTTTTATCAAGTATTCTTGTCTCATTTAGTAAAACACTGAGGTGCTGAATCACTGTATGACTTTTGTAAGAATAACTCAAATATTCTGGTTTCTTTTAGAATTGAAACTCATTCATTTACAAGATCCCTATGAAATACTAATAAAACGAATAGTAACACGTAAAAATAAGAGTAGAAATTACTCTGTGTAATGATGTTTGATGGTGAATTTCATATTGATATCACGTGTGTGACATTGCCATGATGAATACAAGGATTACTGTCTGTCTGTCTTTTTTCAACATAGAACTTTTCACCGATGTGCGTCAGTTCAAGTCGCCACACTCCCTCCTTGTAGCACACAGAGCAAGAGAAGAAAGTAGAAGAAATGCATAACAGAGGTGTGAAACAAAAGAATAGTAATAACGCAGAACAATATAGTTTTATTGGAAATCATAAGTCACAAGGAGCGGATGCATCTGCGCCAATGAGAACGATTTTGAGCCATATCACCAATTGTCTCCAACCACTGGTTTTTACCGTCCCGAGGACCACAACCAGTCAGGAAGTCTACACCTTCCTACGTGACTGGCTTAAACTAAATGTTGTGGATTTCATTGACTGATGAAGCCATGTTTTGGTTTGACCGCCGCTAGTTGGCTCCTTTCCACCCTGACCATATGTCAGCTAACATTGCCCGTTGAGGAAGGCGATGACTAGGCATGCATACGTAACACATGTCCTAACCATCTTAGTCGATGTAATTTCACAGCCTCGTCGGTTGATTTCCCCTCCTTAGCCAGCACTTGACCGATGTCTAACCTCAATATCGCTCACCTTATTATACCACTTTACACGAGAGATAGAACGCAGGCACCTATGATCAAAGACAGCTAATCTTTCCATGTCTTCCACTCTCAAATGCCAGGTCTCACAGCTGGCTATAAAGGAGGACGGAGCGGACTGTTGAGCAGTACACTCGCCCTCTGGTCGATAGCCAGCCGGATATCACGTCTACTCCAGAGACGGCGTAAACTTGCAAATGAGAAACGAGCCCCCTGTATCCATGCTGAGATTTCGTCAGAGATCAACCCACTGGTGCTGTCTGATACAACTTCCCAAATAAGTGGAGTGATCAACGTGCTCTACCACTTCACCCCCCATTTCTAAACTAGTAGTCAGTGTATTCCAGTCCGGTAACATCATCTTACATTCGGCGGGTGCGAGTTGCATGCCAAACACTCGTAGATTGCAGCTCAAGGACTCTGCATTTTGTCAGCGTCTTCACCCAGAAGGGAGGACTATATCATCTGGATATTCTAAGTCAGCGAGACTACTGTTCCCTGGTAACAAGTCAATCCCTGAGTCTCTGAAGTGAGTTAGGGTTAGGTTCATCGGTACATCTGTGATGAAACTGAACAGAAATGGAGATAATGGGCATCCCTGACGGATACCATTAGTCGTCACCACAAGGTTTACTAGTGCATTGTATGATATACACAGGTTATCATCAGTAGTTCACACCAGTTGGTTAGTTGTCCTTGAGAAGCCGTTCAATTTCTAACATCTTGTCTGCATCAGAACATATTCATTGAATTATTCGGTTACGTAACACAAATTTTAGTATAAAATTGGAAGTGAAAAATTCTGTGAAAGAGGAATATGAAATATATCCAAGTCTGACTTCCTGAATTCGGTCTGGACGTATTCTCCAAGTTGGTTGATTTAACTGTGAGGCTTTAACTGTTCTTCTGGCCAACACTTTTAGCTTTAACTTCAATCTGCTGACTTCACAATGAAGTTTGCACTGAAGTTGTTGATCAGTAAGGCGGTGAAAACTTCGTAGTTTAACCATCCAGCTTATAGAGTACAACCACACCAGAAAAAACCCACTGGACTTCGTTGAACACCAACTTCGTAGACACATCAACAGCAGCATGCACCTAAGTTTAAAATTCTCCATCATTCAAATGAGTGACACAAACCACCGTAAAAGGGGTAACAATACAAAACTCCCACTTCGAATTTAAATATCTTAGATTATATTTTTTTTTATATTTCATATATATATATTCCCATAATGATAATGAGATTTGAGATATTACAGATGCATATAACTATTTCTTGTCATCTAAAAATTAACACAGGAATTCATTGCAGGAGTAAGTTGACTTGATATCTACACATGTTATTCTATTTCATAGTTATATTAATTTTTTTTTGTTCAACGTTTTTGGTTCATCTTTTTTAACTACTTATTGTTATTAAGTAGTAGATGTTTTAACAAATAAGAATTATTGTGCTTAGTGTGCTTTATATCCACTTAATTAAGTACAAGAATTACCGTACTGACTGACCATTACCTAGACTTAACCAAGTATTGCTACTGAAACCTTCATTCTTCTTTAAAATGTTATTGATTATTGTAGAGGGAGCAGCTGAGAAGAGTGTATTCTGGTTTTAGCTATGATGATGCTTTCAATCAATATAAGAAATTCAGACAGAGAAATACAAGCTGCTTTAATGGTTATAATGGTTATATATTATTGGTGTTGTTATCGCATTTGGTTCCACGTTGAAAATAAATGCTCCAATAAGACATTTCCATTTCACCTTATACTTAGCTGCCTTTTTAACTGACCCTACGACTGTTCAGAAGCTTTCGACCCCTCCTCTCACGATCTCCTCAACGTCACTCCCGAACAGATGCACTCAGGTTTGATCGGAGAGTCAGGCGCCCAATATCACTCAACGGTCCCGTCAATTTATGTTTAAGTCCTTCTCCATTTCCTTCGGAATACTGTCGGGTGATAGGTTCTGGGTCGGTTCATTCTCAGAGTTTCTTGTTGCTTATCCGTTCTGATCGGCCATCTGATCTTCAGTATCGAATCAGAGAAGTTATCTGTTCGCAAACTTCTGCAAAAGTCTTTTAGAAATGCTTTTGCAGATGAATTCAACAAGTGTCTAGACGATAGAGAAGCAGTGATTTGACATTAGTGTTGCAGCTCCGGATCTTGTTCCTTATTCTGAGCATAGTAGATCTCTACACTAATTTCCGACCATGCTTTTGACATCCTCATCTTTACTGTCTATAGTTAAAACGGTTCTACCTAGGTCACGTAAGTGAAAGAAGTCGCCTTCTTCAAATTCCTCGGGTTGATGGCGATTGCTTCTTCTTCTTCTTGTTTGATAGGTATCTTCCATAACCTCTGTCTTCTCTATGTCCACTTGAAGTCCTGTCTTCGTTGCCTCTGCTGCCAATTTAAGTTGATGATGGTTTGTGATACTCAATAGTGCTAAAGCATTTTCCAAATCACTTCATGATCGACACTATCTAAGGCCTTTTCAAAGCTGATGATGTTAAGACAGAGATTTGACTACCATTCTATGCTGTGTTTGATGATGACGGCCTTCCAATGGATGCAAGCTTTATCACCGTTTCTCCATATGCTACTTATATTAGTTTATAAGTAATGCACATCACGCTATTTATCAAAATTAAGATGTTTGTTTGCCTATCCTAAGCTATGAGCCATAGCTGTCGTATGATAAGTGTAGTAGGTGATTCTAAGTACTAACCGGTGAGATGAAATCAACTAAATCAGATGTGAAAACACTCATCCAGTTGGACAGTTATGAAATCTAGTGACGTAACTCTCTATTCCTTTGAATTCCAAGTGTAACATAGGTCTTCATGCTTGAGCTCTAAAGTTTCCCATAGCAGTGATACTGCATAGAGTTGAAGCAGTTGCCGAATTACTTCACACTCAGTGGTAACGAAGAACTTTTTAAGTTGAAGTAAAATAATTGAGTACCATTCTGTCCTTTGTTTTCGATGATGATGATGATGATGCTTAATGTTGCAGTTTGATCCACACATGATTTGCAATTCCAAAATGCAACTTTTTTTCAAATGAAGATCTGCATCCAGAGAATTTTTTATCCTCATAAGGATGACGAGATTTAGTATTCTGTTTGATAAGAAAGATCTAGGAAGGTGAATATAGTTAGAGGGAAGATAGAAAACGCGTAACTAGTATTAACCTATGCGATCATGTAAGAGATGCAAGATATGAAACTGCTATTGATGGAATCAGGTAAGTGATCCCAAATCGGTCAGTAACAAAAGTATTGTCCAGTCAGTTAAAACGAGATAAATATAGTTAACTAGGCAGTAAGCCATTGATCATATTCTGTTTTAGTAAACATAGGTTGTATTGAAAATCTAGCCTTCACAATGCCCGGTAGCATTTCCGTGCATTTAATCTTTTTTTTTTAAGTTTTAGAGACATCAAGATGCTGTCCTGTGTGTGTGTGTTAGATGTCTAGTTAATGTACTTTTTAAATGTAAAGCAGTCATAATTTTCGAGTAACTAACATCATTCCCCTGCTAGGAATCTTGTCAGTTATCTTTAAGATTTAATAGTATGAAATATTCTCATAGTATGAATTAAAAATCAATCTGAATGAAGAATATTCTTTCCAATAACTTCTCTTCACATTCTTACAATTATAAAATATAATATTTGTTGTCGTTACAATAAATACCACTTATGCGGCGGATACATTTTTTTAACGTAGAATAACAGATTAGTAGTTATGGGGTGTCAAAACAAATAGTCGTATTCGTGTGACAAACGAGTTATGGACCGAATTCAATTACAAGCTATTGTGAAATGGAAGATAATGGCGATGATTAGTCATAATCGACTCGTAGAGTGTGGGGTAGGAAAATTGACAAGTCAAGTGAATTTTAGATTTTCCCGTCGATTGATTGAACTGAAGTGCTCGGCCTCAGGTTAACATGTCGGCTTCTTGAGCAGATGCTTCGACGATGTCTGGGCATGCAATAAGAATTTAATTTGTGGATGGTGACTAGCAGTGGAATCCCGGATGAGCATTTCGTCCTATTTGAGACTCGCCATCTGGATGTACCTGCATTCCTCAATGACATGATGATGCAGGTCCATCCGGTGACGAACCCCAAACAGGACGAAATGCGCATCCAGGATTCCACTGCTAGTCACCATACACCAATTAGAGTCAGTTCAAGGTTATCAAAGGTGTCAGGTGAGTGAGTGGCTAGTACAAAGTGGTATGTAGTAAACAGGAGATAGTAAGACTGCAATGAGAGGTTCATAATGAGATATTGAATATGTTAAATGAAACAGGTGGAGACATTTATTGACAAAACAGATAATATCACTAATAATAAGTCCGGATAGTATAAAAGGGAAATTCGATAGTATTGAGGGAATGTTTGCATGAAGGGCATAAATTATGACGAATAATAGTAAGGAAAGAAAGGGAAAAACCAAGAGAGTTCAGGAGAAGAAGCATTCTTGGTGAGAAGAAGAATCATCAATCCAAGTTTGGCGACGGTAGGAACAGCGTCTTGACATGTTCATTTTGGATACAAACTTTTTGTCTAGTCGACCATATTGCAACAGCCTCAACTATTTGTAGGAGACGTAAGCGAACTATATGTGATAATGATCTCGGAATTCGGTATATAAACTCGAAGGCTGTGTTGGCATCGATGCTATGTTCAGCATCTATCAAGTGTGACAGGATTGAGCTTTTTATGCATTTAATTTCCTCCTTGCTGAATTCAACCTGGAACGTCTGTTACACAAATACTATTACGCTGACACCCCATAACTACTTATCTGTTATTCTACGTTAAAAAATGTACCTGTTGCATTACTGGCCATCATTATTGTAACGACAACAATTATTATATTTTATAACTGTAAGAACCTGAAGAGGAAATTTAATTGAAATGTATATTCTTCGTTCAGCTTGACTTTAAAGCTATGAATCGCAAACTTACTTCGTCTAAGCCTGTGAGACTAGACCAACTGTTCGCCTAATTTGTGGCATGATAGATTGATTACTGATGCCATTAATCTCAGAAGGACATTGGTTTGATAAATGCGAAAAATCCGCACAAAAGCGTCACACTTTGGAAGAGTACGGATAAAGGGAGAGTGAAGAAATTTAGTGATAGGAATGTTCCAAAGAAAGCATAGTAAGATGAAGTATATTGGAGTTTTAAGAAAGTGAGACAACAGCCACTGAAACAGTCTCCACTCATTCTCTTTTAGCATTTCAAAGACTCCTATTCACTGGTCAGTCTACACCTACTTACGTGGATTGAACGAACAGTTAAGCACATCATGTCTGTAAATTTATACATAATAAGTATATATTTAATTTCACTTAATAACACTTTTTTTATGTTTCATATTACAAGATCCCTGAAAAAATGTGGAACAGTGCCTACCTGCTACGTAGACGTTGGAATGCTATCCTAAAATTCACCGAGGATGTAGTACAAAATATGTCACCCCTTAAAGCACATTTTTCACTTGGTATTGTACATGATGTGAAAGCTTTTCGTAAAAAGGTTAAAGCATTTGTTGAAAGGTAAGCAACAAAGGTAGGAGAACCAAAAGAAATGTTTTATGTTGTGGAAATTTTGACGCGTAGTTAGTCCGAGTTGTCACAAATCTGTTGTGTTTTCATGTATGGGGCTGTATAAGCTACAGTTTCTATGTTTAGGCGGGTAATACTACTCAAATGCCTAGTCTGAATAAAGAAGTTAGGGATGGATTCGAACCCGTCACCTAGTGTCTGAAAGTTGTGTCCCTAAACCAATTAGCCACATACTTAGTAAAATATGTTAACACCAGATACTACAGCTGATCGTATACGATTTATTGTTAAGCCATTAGAACATAAGGGATTTCTAGTGAAACTATACCGAATACTAGGCATTTTATTTAAAGATTTCGCGAATGCGTCTCTTATCCAAAGCTGGAAACTGCATAAGCTTAATTTATGCATCTAGGAAGATATATTCAACACCTACGTCTACTCTGACCTACCAAAGGGTCATCATAAACGTGATTACCCCATATTTTCACTCTTTCCCACCTAATTCAGACTATACCATTCCAATTACTGTTATTGCTTATCCTTTGGATTAGGTTCCGTTGTGATTCTCGGATGACGCGCTTAGGTCATAGTTCGCTTGAAAAAGAGGGAAGATTAGTCTTGAATTTGATGACAACCCCACGTCGCTACTGAAACTTCAAAGATGAAGTTTGAAGCCCTATATTTCACTGGAAATGCAGACAAATGACACAGAATACTGGATACCATAATGATGTATTCTTTTAAAGATGTATAAAAGGAATATTATAAAAATGATTAAAGGTACAGTAGAAGGAAGCCACCAGACTTCTTTTTAATTAACGAATATCAGACACGTTGTCCAACTCAACATAACGGTTTAATTATGGAGAAAAACGAAAACCCAACATTAAAATTACATGTCAAAGTTAATTTCCGGTTTAGAAGTGACGGATACAGTTTATATTTTATGTGATGGATGATATAGCTAGTCTTTATACTGATAAACTAATGAAAATGGCTCTGAAAGACGTCAGAAAAGAACTAACTACCACCGACCTTGAACTCACTCATAAGACAAAGCTACCCACTGATGAGGTTATTCTTGAGATTTATTTGTGTCTCACGTCTACTGTCTTTACATTCCAGAGCAAACTATACACATAAGTAGACAGGGTAGCAGGAGGATCACTGATATCTGTAATCACAGCATATATCTGTATGAATAGTTGGGAAAGTATAGCTCGGAAGAAATATTTAATTCTACCCAAAAGATATATGGTACAGATATGTGGATGACGTCTTCAAAATGCTGAAAATTATAACATATCTCTAGTTTCTTTACACAAGGAGGAATAAAATTTGTGTTTTGGTCAAAAATGAAGAAGGACAATTAGCTATTAATGTATGTGTAAAACTTGGGCACTGTGGTAGTATGTGTAATTCCATATTAGTTTGTTTATTAGATATATCACACAGTCAGTGAAACAGTATTATTATTTACTGGATGACGCAGTTTCAAACACAATTTATTGCAGTTCATAATCATATCTTCAATTGTAATCACACGACTTCGAAACTTGAGTTTCGTAGTTTTTTCTTTGTTCTCTCCCATTTGTCGTCGTTAGCGTAGTAGAATTTTTCACATATCTGGATGGACAGGTGCTGGATCATTACTATTACACGAATTTGCGGTTGATTTGAGAAACAAAGCTTCTGTTATCAATCTCTCCCTCCACCCAACTGGTACATCAGATTTTAAAACTGTCATCCTATTGTATGGTTGTGTGCAATTCCATGTAGTGAGTGCTATGGCTGAACTATTCTATAGATTTCCTATCTAGATTGGTTGACCTAAATAAGATAAAAAAAAATCTAGAGAATAGTTCAGCCATAGCACTCACTACATGGAATTGCACACAACCATACAATAGGATGACAGTTTTAAAATCTGATGTACCAGTTGGGTGGAGGGAGAGATTGATAACAGAAGCTTTGTTTCTCAAATCAACCGCAAATTCGTGTAATAGTAATGATCCAGCACCTGTCCATCCAGATATGTGAAAAATTCTACTACGCTAACGACGACAAATGGGAGAGAACAAAGAAAAAACTACGAAACTCAAGTTTCGAAGTCGTGTGATTACAATTGAAGATATGATTATGAACTGCAATAAATTGTGTTTGAAACTGCGTCATCCAGTAAATAATAATACTGTTTCACTGACTGTGTGATATATCTAATAAAAAAACTAATTTGCAAGGGAGTTATATTAAATGTCAAAATAAAAGACCAAATTAACCAAGATAATTAAATAATGGGATTAAATCCACTTCCTTGAATTTAACAATATAATCCAGAATTGCAGTGCTCGAAGTACGATTTAACAGCATTTTCTTCACTGTAAATATTGCCAACATGGTGTTGAATGAATACTCTTTGTAGGACGATGAGAGGTTTCGTGTAAATTCCAAAGTGTGCAACTAAAGAATTAGTATGGCGAATAGAGAGTTGAGGAGAGTGTGAAGATGTAGCGTGAACAAAAACGAGTGTATTAATAATTCCGCGGAAAAATTTACATGTTAAAACAAAGATTTCGGTTAAAACAGAAAAATATACACAACGTTTCATTTTTTTTTTACATTCAACGAAAAGTGTACAAGTCCACCATTCTAGACAATGGAAAGAGTTTTGTCACATAAGGAAGGGACATCTGGAAGCCTTTGTAGGATTCTTAATGGAGCATAAACTACCGTGGCATTGAAAAAACCTTCAAACTGGCTCAGAGATATGCTTTGTAGGCTAATGGAATGTATTGATCAAATTTGATGATGAGGCCAACTACATAGATTGGCCCACTAGATCGGTGTATAAGCAATCACCTATAAGTATGCCGTAAGTCTATGATTCCTGCCTGTCTGCAGTAAACCTAGGTTTCCGTTATGACTGAAATCTTTGACTTCAGCATTCGATAGCCTCACTAGTGATTATCAGAGGGATATATTAATCTCATAGTCTTTTAGATACACCCTACTGATGAGTACCAATATGTCTGAATTCTTGGTCAACCTAGGCATTCTGATGGTTGGTTTCTGATACACATAAGACAAAGTTGAACTGAAACTTTTAGCCTTCGAAGTGAGGATGGGAGTGAGACAAGGCTGCCTACTATCACCAATGATCTTCCTGATTGCAGTAGACTGGATAATGCGACAGACAACGGCAGCCAACGAGGAAACAGGCATAAAATGGACTCACACAAAAAGGGACTTGGAGGATCTGGACTTCGCCGATGATATATGTCTGATTTCCCACAAACTGGAAGATATGCAAGTGAAAAGCAACAAGTTGGCAGAAGAAGCATCAAAGTTAGGCCTCCCTTTAGGTGAACATAGATAAAACAGAGGTGATGAAGATTCCTGGACAACACCGATAGCCACAGTGGTTAGGACTCTCGCCGACCATGCACATGGTCCGGGGTTCGAGCCCACACCGGCGCACACCTGATATCTATGGTCGGCCTGCAAAATTTGGGCTACTGATATCCATGCTGAAAATTCCATACTTGTACCAAAAATACAGTGTGGAATCAAGCTGTAAATGAAAAAAAAAACAACAACAACAGACAACAATCGGCCAGCATAAATGGAAGGAACCTGAAAGAAACAACCTCCTTCATCTACCTACCTACCTGGGAAGCATCGTTTCAACTACAGGCGGAATTGACGAGGATATCAAAGCCAGAATCGGAAAAGCAAGACAAGCTTTCATTACTCTCAAATCTGCGCAGAGGTCAACATCACGCAGCATCAAAAATAAGATCCGGATTTTCGACTTCAATGTAAAGTCAATCAGTGCTACTCACTACGCGGATCAGAGACTTGGCGAGTCATAAAGAGCATCTCAAACAAACTTCAGACCTTCATTAACAGCTGTCTTCTCTCAATACTCAAGATCAGATGGCCGGCCAGAAAAGATCAGCAACAGTGAGGGATCTCTGGGAGCGAACCAACCAGGAACCGATTGTGAAACAAATAGGCAGGAAGAAATGGAGATGGATTGGCTTGTCCATACTCTGAGGAAACCACCAAGTGAGTGACATCACTAGACAAGCCATTGCTCGAGTGGAACCCGAAAGGTAAGCGGCGAGTTGGTCGTCGGTTCAAGGGTGATTCGGAGGAGGTCATGCGAGGAGGAGATGAAAGCATGTGGACAGACCTGGAGCGGGGTGAAAAAGTTATCAGGAAACCGAAGGCAATGGAGGTGCGCAGCTGAAACCCTATGTTCCTCTAGGAACTAAAGGATACAGTAATAATAGTAATAAGTTTCTATTTCATATAAAATTTGCTTTGCAATTATAACTCTGATTATTCTCTTTCTGGTTTGTGATTTAGCTATAAATCCTCTGGGCCAGGTAATGAATCAGAAGATTTAGATCGGGGTTATGCAAGTTTAACCAAGTTTATTACAGAATGTGAAAAACTGGATGCAGAACGTTTAGATTTATTAAGCAGTGAACGTCTATTATATCTGCCAATATCAACCTATCCTGAACTGAAAGAAATGCAGTCAGAACTACAGAAGCTGAAGCCAATTTACGAGTTGTATTTAGATCAAAAAGTAATTTATTGAATGAAAGTGTTTCTTTTTTGTGTGTTTTCAATGTTTTATTTCACAATGTTTCATTACTGCTTGGCTGATTAGTCGATATTGAAGTGGCTTCCAGCAGGAATTAGGATCACTCGAAAAAACTAATAAAAACAATGATTATACTATATGTTCTTTGTTAGTTAGTTTAAGCCACGTAGGAAGGTGTGGACTTCCTGGTTGGGGTCCTCGGGACGATAAAAACCACTGGTTGGAAACAATTGGTGACATGGCTCACAGTCGTTCTCTATTATGCATTTCTTCTACTTTCTTCTGTTGCTTTGTGTGCTACATGGAAGGAGTGTGGCGACTTGAACTGCTGCACATATGTGCAAAGTTCTATGTCGAAAACCGTACGATATACTTTCTATTATTATTTTACCTGGAAATCCCCAACAGGTGACTGACTGACTGACTGGATTCAACGTAGAACTTTGCACAGGTGTGCAGAATTTCGAGTTGCCGCACTCCATGTAGCACTTAAAGCAGGAGAAGAAAGTAAGGAGAGATTCAGAAGAAAGATAATAAACAGAAATGCATGGCAAAATGAATACTGATATGGCATAACAATGGAGTTTCATTGGATATGATAGATCACGAAGAGTGAATGCATCTGCGCCTTTGAGAACGATTCTAATCCGTATTGCCGATTGCCTCTAGCCGTCACTGGTTTTTACCATCCCGAGGATTCCAACTAGGAAGTCTATATATCCTCCGAACAAATAGTCAATATAAAAAAAATAAAATAGGCTGCGAATTGTGAACAGTGTGTAAACATTATATTCAGTGTGAATGAGGTTACAGGGGAATACTTGAAGAAAGAACAAATGAATATTAATCCCCATTGATTCGAAATTAATTAATCACTTAGTAGTGACTGTTTTCAAGATGTAATTATGAAGTGTATAGTGGAAAATCGTGAATAATGAGATCTTTTAAACAGAATACAAGGTCAGATACTTGCCGAAAGAGTTCAACGGTGGTGTCTATATACTCTGAATTAACAGACACCAGCATTCCTGATCCAATGAATTCCAACGCAGCACCTAAAGAGTGAAGTGATGATCAATTAATCATATGGTCTTCAGTTGTATTCCTAATCGGATATTGAGTGAGCATTGCTGAATACTCCTAGTCTACCGTAAAAAACAACTATCCACTGATTTATGATTTTCAATGGTTTTATAACTGTCGTCATTCAGAAAATGGACGAATAAAAATAGATTGTATTTATATTCGTGGAATAGAAAATTCAGGTGGAGCAAGATCCTCCAAATAGGATCAACAAATCCTTCAAGAGTCAAATAACATTATTCAGCTACTCATAAATGATAATAAAAATTGTGGTTTAAAGTAATAACAGTACTGATAAAGAATTCCATAAGTTTTAATACACCCATACTTCGAATAATTCTAAATGGAGCCACCCTAAAAGTCACTCCTCTGTAACCTAACAACCTCCTTCTCAGGCATGAGGCTAGCAACCCCACCATTTAATCAAAGCTGCTACAGAAGCTTCAGTACGATGAATCTCCTTGCGACAAAAGAAAAAATCTGTTTGGGGATACCGAACGCCCGCACCATGTAAGAGACTGACAAAGCTGCCCAGATTACAAACGAGATGAAAAGATACAGAATTTAAGTGCTGGGAATATGCGAAAGCAGATGGAATGGGAGTGGACTTACAAAATAGTCAACAAGAAGGTCAGTGATCTACTCCGGTTACCCAGAAGACAACTACGAGTACACTGAGTGTGTGTGGCTATCATGAGGTCACCAACGGCAACGAAGGCCCTAGTGCAATGGGAGGAGATCTCGCCCAGGATAATGACATCCAAATTCAACTCAAGAGGATGGCAATGGAGGTGGATTGGCCATACTCTGAGAGAACAAACCATCAAGTGACATCGCCTTGATGCAGGCCATCGCTCGAGTAGAACCCGAATGGGAAGCTGCGAGTTAGTTGGTCGTCAGTGCGAGTATGACATGGAGGAGATGAGAGCATGTGGGCAGACTTGAAGCCAGGTGAAAACGTTGGCAGAGAACTGAACGCAATGAAGACGTTTGCCTGAAGCTCTATGTTCCTCTAGGAACTAAAGGAAACAATAATAATTGATTCACTTACTCCAGGTTCAGAAGTTATTGACTACCAGCTTATATACTGGACGAAGTGTTTTGATATTGTCAATTATAGACTGTGAATACAACTGACTAATTATGGAGAATTCTTCAGCACTATCTGACTGACTCTAATGTAGACAAGAATCTTGATTTCCATTTATTAGTCATGGAAGAACAAAAATGTTTACACCGATCAACTGTTATGTCATAATCAATCGAATGCATTGAAATCTAGCAGTGATTTTATCTTCGAAATAAACACTTTAGAACAAAGTCCTTTTTAACTGACTAATTGACTGGCAGATGATCCATAATATAGAAACTCATCAGTTCAACTATTGCCACTATTCGAAAAACAATTACATCAAACGAATAAACAGAAATTAATGGTACGATAATGAACAAACTGATTATGAGGCGGGGGTAGGGTTGGAAATGGTGAATGACTTTAAATTATTTCACTTGAAGTCTCTAACTATTGTTTCTTAGTATCCCTAGAGTTTCAGTTACACAAATTACGCTAACAGACTTTAATGTCATGAATTCTCTGATCATTCCTATCTTTATTTCAACTTAACTCCACTACCTATTAAGGAAGGAAATGGTTCAGAATGTCTAAAACACGTCCTAGTTATCACAAAATAATGGGGCTTCACAAAATCACCGAATAGCCCTGACGCTACATCTGATCTCATTACCATAGACCGTTTTGTTTCACTGTGACACAAGCGTGATAGTCTTAACAAAAACTATTCAATTAGTGGGTGGTGACTAGCAGTGGAATGCAGGATAACGCGCATTTCGTCCTATTTGGAATTCATCAGCCAGTGGATGTACCTGCACTTCTCAGTGAGTCATGATGTTCCCACTATCGAGGCTCGAACCCAGTGCCCATAGTTTCAAACGCCAAAGCGTTATCCACTAGACCATTTGGGCCACGACAGCCACCTCTTGTGCAACGGGTCATATATTAATTATTGAATTGAATTTTTGATTTTCCCGTCGATTGATTTGATCGAAGTGCTCGGTCTCAGGTTGACATCCAACTGACGAGTCCTAAATAGGACGAAATGGGCTTCCTGGAATCCCCTGCTAGTCACCATCCACCAGTTACATACTAATTGAATGCCCAGACATCGTTGAAGCATCTGCACAAGAAGCTGACATGTCAACCTGAGACCGAGCACTTCGATCCAATCAGTCGACGGGAAAATCTAAAAATTCAATTAAAATAAAAAAAACTATTCTAGTTATACTTAGAATTTAGAAATGAGTATGTTTTATTTCTTATCAGTGTCTCCTATCTTTCAACGGTTATAATAAGGAATAATTCTGACACTAACTTTAAGTCACTACACGAACTTCGTAATGGTATTAATTCTCTCTAAGAGAAGTCACTGGGGGATACTGAAGCGCTATAATACTTTGATAACAGACAAGCGGTAAGTGGAACACTAAAGTTTTGAATATACTGAAGTATTGCTGTACAATATCACTAGTTGTTGTTTTTTTAACGACAACTTAATTTCTACATAACCAAGAGAATGTTTTACCTGAGAAGTTTAACTTAAAAACGGGTAATTTGTTTCAGATTAGGCCAAAATAATCTACCCAGACATTGCAGATTCTCAACAGTACCAAGTGTTTGTGGGATATAGGGCTTCAGAATCACATCTCCTTTCCACTCACTTCTTTCTCTTCAATTTCAACTGGCTCCACGAATGCCCGCAAGCTTTCATTTCCTCTTTATGTCGTCATCAACACAACCATTCCTAAGCCATTTATTCATATTCCGGTGTCACTCGATAGTCCCCTCAGAATATACATTTGCTAGGTAATAGGGCCTTAGTTGGTTTACTGTCTGCTGGAGTTCCCTAATGCCTGACGGGGCTTGACGTTAGGCGTAGAGTGTTCGGCAAACAAAGAAAATCAATCGACGAGGCTATGAAGTTACATAGATTGAGATGGCAAGGTCACGTGCTGCGCACGCCTAGCCATCGCCTCCCTCGACGGGCATTACTAGCTGATATAGGTGCAGGTTGGAAAAGAGTAAGTGGTGGTCAAACAAAAACATGGCCTCATCAATCCATGAAATCCTTGACAGTTAAACTGAGTCAGGTAGGGAGGGAGATGCAGACTCCCGGGTTGGGGCCCTTGGGACTCTAGGAATCAATGGCTGGAGACAATAGGTGACATGGCTCAAACTCGTTGTCAATGGCGCAGATGTTTTCAGTCTCTGTAATCTTTCATATTTCTTTATATTATTACCCATTCTGTTTCACTCTTATACTTGCCAAACTCTATTGATTCTCTACAGTCGTCTTCTTTTCTACCTTTGTGTGCTATTTGGAACGTGGCAACTCGGACTGCTGCACTTCGGTGCCAAATTCTTTGGTGAATCCAGACAGACAGGCATGCCTGACCGGCGATTCGGATCTCAGTATCTAATGATACTTATTCATTACATATGTATCACACTTCAGTATTTCATTAGAATGTGTTTTTCTTTTTGTTTTCTATCTCTTTTACCCACACTTGCCGATTACCTGCTAGAATGCACGCCAAGATTGGGCATGTATTCTATGGAAAGATATAAAGATAGAAGAATTAATGACTAGTACCAGGGAATTTATTGAAAGATTTAAACGTCAGCCAAAAAGAATGCGTGCATTACCAGCAGCTCGTATGATTAGTAATTCACTGAAAAATTTTCAAGAATCACTTGTTTTAATACAATATTTAAAGGATGATGCTATGCGTGATAGGTAAGTCTTTTCATGGTGCAATGTTAAATATTCTTAACCTATGAAAAATAGGAACTATATTTAGACACGTAGGGAATCGTTTATTAGTATGGTTAAATAAAGGTAGGGGAAGCTAAATACAAACAAGTATAGGTGCATCTTACCCATTCAATTGAGTTTTGTGGATGATCATCTGATTTAGGTTGATTACCGGATAGATGATTCCGTCATCTTTTTCTAAAGATCTAACCAATGTCAGCTCATGATGAAATCCTGTAACGAATCAACCAAATCCCTACAAACCAACAATTAAATATCGATGATATGCTCACTAGTGACTTACTCTATTCAGATAGGTGGTTACCTGAGGTTCTAATGAGAAGTCGTGACCAGTAGGGTGCAGCCGGTCGGGTGTGAGGACAAATACTCGCCGAAGACATTGGCTAGGGATGGCAATCCAGGGATGAATAAGGGTGAACAGTAAAGTGCGTCGGTGGGACAGTGGTTAGGACTCTCACCGACCATGCACATGGTCCGAGGTTCGACCTCCTGCCGACACACACCTGATATCTATGGTCGGCCTGCAAAACTTGGGCTACCGATATCACATGCTGAAAATTCCATACTTGTACCAAAAATACAGTGTGGAATCAAGCTGTCATCAATAAATAAAAAAATTTTAAAAAAATAAAAAGAATAGGTAAAGTACACGAGTTGACAAACTATAAGAGGAGTAGTTAGGTTATGCCTGAGTGCCTTCACCCCTTCTTAATGTGAAATGTCAGATGAAATATTCTTTTAGAAATCGCTAAGACATCGGAAGACGAGGATTGGTCAAAAGAAAGAATTGAAAACTTCATGCAGTTCTTCCCATTGATAAACTTGAACAAAGCAAGAACAACAATTATACCAGGATAATATGAGCTCATCTTTTATTGTTTAATCGAGGATTCTTCTCAACTGGTTACAACCTGAACATTAAAACATATGAATTACATTAAAGATATGAAGATACCCTTCCACGATCATAAGGCGTAATTGGTAGGAATTAAAAGTAACATTAGTCCGGAATGATTTAACTGACTAGGAGTTACAAACACTGACTATTTATAGAATAATTAGACAATTAGGCTTGGAAACAAAAAGAACTTCCAACTGTGTCTACCAATTTACATATACGTGCCAAAGCACATACATTGGAAGAACAGAGAGAAGGCTTAGTGTCCGCATTTATGAATACATACATACCAAAGAACCTGAGACTGAAAGGTCCACAACCGTTAAACAGTGCGATTGCTCGTCATCTATTGGACACTGATCATATTGTAGACTACCAGAAGTCGTTCAAAATAATCAACAAGCAAAAGAAACCAAGCTTGCTACGCTTTGCTGAAGCAACTGCCATCAAACGACTTAAACCAAATCTATGTACACAGAAAGAGACAGTGGTGAATCTTGCACTGCCCTGGTGATAACAAAAAATATACAACTTTTATGAGTCACGCTTTTTCGTGTTTAGAAAATTCTACTCTCTCATCTAAACATGGCTCACCATACCTTGTTTCTTTTCTTTCCTTTTTTCCATTGGCTATTAGATAAGATGCTTTCTTTAGTTACGTAATCTACCTTTTTTTGTTATGCTGTTTCTAGCTAAACCTTGTTTCCACATACACACACATATATACACAACCCTGTTTTTGTTTCCAAGCCTAATTGTCTAATTATTCTATAAATAGTCAGTGTTTGTAACTCCTAGTCAGTTAAATCATTCCGGACTAATGTTACTTTTAATTCCTACCAATTACGCCTTATGATCGTGGAAGGGTATCTTCATATCTTTAATGTAATTCATATGTTTTAATGTTCAGGTTGTAACCAGTTGAGAAGAATCCTCGATTAAACAATAAAAGATGAGCTCATATTATCCTGGTATAATTGTTGTTCTTGCTTTGTTCAAATTATAGGTGCATTTTACGCATTCACATTTGACTGTCAGAAAGTCTCTGAAGTCAGAATCATGTGTGAGAAGAAGGTTTATTCATCAAATATCCAGTCTTCTTTGATTCTGAAGTAATTCTGTGATATAATTAGGTTGAGCTGTGATCGATTTCAAGTAAAAATGGAATATTTTCAGTTTGACTGAGTAAATAAAGGAACAGACAGATTCATTGATTCATCTATGTCACACATTATCATTGATCATAATCCTAATGACTCCGATCAACTATCAGTAGTAATAACAATTTTAGGCGAAAAAAGGTTGAATGATTACATTTACTTTCATCATACCAACCATGGGTTTACATAACTGTACGGAACAGACAGTGTTTACTGTGTTTTTCGCCGCCTTAATCCCAATATATCGTAGTAATTATATAATTCAGGAGTTCTGTAATTTCTCTTGACCTTTTTTGTTATTTCATAATGCATCTGGTTGTGTTTATTTAGACTTCTGTTAATTCATCCCCTACTGAAGAGCCCCAAACCAGGACGAAACAGCTCGCCAGTACTCTCCAGTGGTTTTCTATTGTTCTTTAACTGATATCAGTCTGTGATCAAACTTGACACAAATCTTCGAAACAATGTGTTTTCATGCCTTTACGTGAGGACAGAAATAAAATGCTTTATGACGTAATTTATAGGAATACACAAAGTATATATTTCTACTAAAATGACACATTTTATTTTAAATTCCATCAATAGAGAAATACAAAGTAATATCTCGACGTTGTAATGATAAAGAGATACACTCATTTACCACTACTTACATTAGCACGTAGGTTGGAACAACACAGACAGTCCTTGTGAAAAGAATCCCTTGACTATAGAAGATATAAGGCTACTTAGCAGTGATACTACCAGACACATCCTTGCCCCCCGTTATGTCACTGATTTCCAGGTGGTTAGCAGATAGATTAACAGTAGACTGCTGCATATGGAGAAGTAGGGTCAAGACGTTGATCGGAACCTAACATTTATAGAGTTGAATTTATCACCTTACCTCCCATATGTCAGCTTCTACCCTATTTTTACTACATTTGAGAATTTTTCGCCTTATTCGGGACTCATTATCTGGAGATTTATACACCTTAAAGAGTAATAATGTTCCCTCTAAAACTTAGACTGTAAATCCATCTTTTCAAACTCTGCGTCATTTACTGTGCACCTAGTATCAGCTGTTGTCACTTGAAATTATTGCCATATATTTCTCACTAATTGATTTGATTGAACTGAAATCCTTATTCTCTGTCGAAATGTTAACCCCCTATCATTCACTGAAATGCAGGTACAGCTGAAAAGTTCCAAATACGATTGAACATTGTTCTCTTTCCTTCACGTTCCCAGTGGAACATAGGGCTTCAAGCTAGTGGCTTGAAGTTTCTATAGCAGTGTTTATTTTACAGGATGGGGTTGCTAGCCAGCCTCATGCCCAACCTTTCCTCTTCACCAGCATTATTCCAGGCTTAGCGAGGTAAAGGAGTGCGTCGGCGGCCGGGGATCGAACTCCGGAACATGTGCATGTTCGGCGGGCGCTCTAACTGCTATGCCACCGACGCACACGGTTGAACATGCGTCCTAGATTCTAATGCTAGCCATCTAAATCAGGTAAATGTATTTTACCTTCACAGCAGTGTCGAACCATCTGTCTTAGGGTTCAGTATAGCAACAGAGATTAATCATTTCGGCCGGATAGAATTAGTCGATGGGTAATTCAAAATAACTATAACCAAATGTTGTATATTAGTATTAAAGGTTAAACTGACTTATTCTATGCTGAATTATGTTTTATTCTACCTCTCTATGTTAGAATTACCTTCAAATAAAAATATAAGCATCACGAAGAGCTTAAAAATTTGCCCGCATCATTTTTGAAATAAATCTTGACTAGCTTTCTTTTTCTCTTTTTTTAATAACTACACTGATTCAAATCAACAGACATTGGAAACAATTAATGGAGAAGACAGGAATCAGTTTTGATATGGATCCACAAACGTTTACATTGGAAGGTGTATTTGCAATGCAGCTACATGAGTATTCTGAGGTTATATCAAATGTTGTCAGTAACGCCCAACGAGAAGTAGCGATTGAAAAAGTAAATATTCTAGTTTTGTGTTGTGTAACACTTTGCCGTTATAATTATTAGCATTTAAAAGAAGTTTGTGGTGTCATTTGATAATGTAGGTGCATCACTGAACATGATGTGTTATATTTAAGACAACAGAACTTCACGATGATTTCGCATGCTCTAACAGAAATATACTGACTTTATAGAATCCTTTATAGAATCTTCTTTGTTTCAAGCAACAGGATCTGACAGTTAGTCACTTGTCATACCGTGATACCATACCTACTGACCGGTTGTGATATGAATAACTGGAAACCATTGACATCAGAATGTACTGTTTGCTAGCCCGATAAAAGTGGTTTGAGCAACAGATGGACATTTCATTCATTTAGGGCCTAGAACTTTAGCGGCGTACCCCAGTTCAACACAACTAAGAAAGTCGAGTCAGCTCAAATCATCTTAATTCTGGTTATCCACTGGGGTGAATCATCATTTTAAGGAGAGTTCAAAGGAAGAGTCTACAGAAAATTCCTCTAGAGGGCAGAAATATTTAGACCGTAATATTTGATCTACTTGATACGATAACAAGCAATCAATCAGCCTCACGAGTCGTGTATTATTTTGATTAACTTTCAAATGCATGATGGGCAGTAGTTGTTCGTTCATATGATACTAATCCTCCCCTGTGGATGATCCGCCATCCGAATCTGCATTGAGAACATAATTCGACCTTTTCATCTGTAACCTTAAGTTATTCTCATTCATAATCATACTTCTTAAAATACATCAATGTCTTGTTCTCCAAAATGACCAGATACTGACCGTAATGTTCTATTCCCTGGAATACATTCACTTAGTTAATAGGAGAGCTGAAGGCACTTTAAGTTGACTTTGAAGAATTTATCTGCTGGCCACTGTATGAATTTAGAACATTGCAGTCGGCTTCCCGTACAGCTTCATATAGATGTGCATTAATTCAATTCTCCATATTAACATTAAGTGCTAAGAGTATCAGTAACCTAAAGTGCAACCCTCAGCTGTTCATAGTTGGTCAGAGTTCTGTCTTCATTTTAAGTTCTGTTGTATAAACAAACCAGTTTCTGTTCTTCAGTTTATTGAAGAAATCAGATTGCAGAAACATGTGTAAGTTTTTCTACTGTTATAAACAGATTGAGGTAATCATCAGCTAATGTAGAACCGAGAGAATATAAATTCACTCTAGAGAAATCTCTTAACATTCTCAAAGACTCTGATTAGCTATTCACGCTTCTATGTGGATTTCGTCACAAACCAACCTAATTTAAAGAATCACTGAAGAATAAGAAGCAGTGGAAAGCCATGACGTCCTGGTTTGATTAACGTAGCAAGCAGGCGCCCAGGACCCCCAATCGGTAGGTATGTACACTACGGATGAGTCCTGGACTAGGAAAAAAGCAGTTTTTGGTGAAATTCGGTGGAGGACGTCGTCTTCCAAGAGAATGGATATTCATGGAATTTCATCAAAAGACATATACTCCCAAGCCAATCTATCTAACCAAAAGTCCCCAAAAAAAGCACAAAGAAAATCACCCTACCATATATAAAGGATATCTAAGAAATCACTACAAGACTCTTCAAACCTAAAGGAACTGACATCGTACACAAACCAACAAAGTCACTCTCCTCAATTCTATGTCAACTAAAAGACTCAACAGCGAAAGAAGATAAAACCAACATCATCTACAAAATAAATTGTAACAACTGCGAAAAACACTGACTAAATTGGCCAAAGTGGACGTCCTCTTCGTCTTCGTATCCACAATCATAAGCTAGCTGTCAAAAGACATGATATCCACTCCCTCATATCACTATATACAGACAACCACGGACATCAATTCGACTGGGATAACTTTCAAATATTAGACAGGGGAAACCACAAGAATGCTAGAGAATTTTTAGAAGCCCGCCTGGTATTCCAGTGGATCGTCAGTCCATGGACACATCGAGATAAACAAAATTTATCAACCGATAAGAAAGAAACCTAACACACAAAGGGTTAAAGTTCAAGTCAAAGAAACAATCAGTTCCAGTACAAGCAACCTAAAAGGTGTGAAAACACACACAAACAACCAATCACGTCCAAGGTCACCCGTCAGGAGAGATGATTAATAAACTCGTGGAGAAATCTAAAAGCTCACTTCAGTAAATTGAAGTATGCGCTGAAGATTTCGCCTAGTAGGGCGATGAGAGCTTCGTAAATTAACTATCCAGCTCAGAGAACACAACCACATCAAAATCATCCACCCGAGCTACAAATTTTCTTTATCATATCTAAAAAGCTGTTTATTGCGTTTCGGTTTTCACTTATTCTCTGAATCATTATGCTTAGTGACAAAATCCACACTGAAATCAATCCAAATGCGTAGAAGCCCAAAATCGGATGTTCAATACTGACTTTTCAACTTCATAAACTTTGGAATGTTGAACATTAGAATTACTATTTTTGTTAAAGTTAATTTTCACTTCCCCTTAATAGATTATACTGAACCGAAACTCTTGATCTCTGTTGACATCTTGGTTCCTTCTATGGATCCTTCGACGATTTATGATGACTAACATAATGTTATTTGGTCGATGGTGGCTAGCAATGGAGTCCAAATGCACGTCTCGTCCCATTTAGGACTCATCATTTGGATGCTTCTGCAGTCTCCACTGAGTGATGGATGATGATAGTGACTGCACAGGAAGTGGCTCTTGTGGTTCAGTGGCCTAGCGCATAAGGATTTGTGGTTTTAAACGATGAGTGATGGGTGTGAGTCTCAGTGGGAACATCATTACTGACTTGCTGACAATGCAGGCACGTCTAGATGACGAGTCCCAAATAGGACGAATTACACTGATAGCCACCATCAACCGATTACCAGTATTACTACTACTTTATTATTCTAACACTTAATGCATAAACAGTATTATATTTTCTTTTCTTTTGTTTCTAGGGTTTAGATGATATAAAAAATATTTGGTTAGAAATGAAATTCACACTTACCTCCTACACAAAGTGTAATCGGGAACCGTGTTATATACTCGGTTCACTAGAAGAACCTATCCAGTTTATGGAAGATCATATGATGAGTTTACAATCGATTGGCTCAAGTCGACATGCTATACCATTTGTTACTATTATTAGACAATGGGAAAAAGACTTATCCATAATTAGTGATACACTTGAAGTGGGTACCATTCTATGATATTTTTATAGATGTATGATTTCGAAAAGACTTTGGCACTTAAATTTAGTTTGTCTACTCTCATTTGAGTTAGCAGTTGGTTTTTGTTGAGGTTGTCAATCAATTCCTACCACTAGACTACGAGTTCGAAACCCATTCCGCCCACTGAGTAGAGTATGGTTAACACCCACTTAGTAGGTGTCGTTCAGTGCCAGCAACATGGAAATAAACCATGCCTGCAGACTACATTCACGTATTACCTTTGTTACATTGTTTTGAAGACGTTCCAGTAACCTTTAGTAAGAAAATGACAGATGCTATGAAAAATCTTTGTTGTCATTATATTTAAAACATCATTTGTGAGGGGAAGCGAAACGATCCATTCTTTTGAAAATTATCTGTTTTGGACAGCATATATCAAGACAGAATTTAAGATAGTCAGTCAAATTGGAAATAGTATCATCCAGTTTTAGTTCGTTGAAAAGTTCCCAGTTAGTGTCATTTAGCATGCATCTTAGTTTGAGCATATTTTCTTGTGAGTAACACCTTTGCTGTGTTTTCTTGGACAGATTTGAGAAGATATTAAAGTGAGATCTGCTGTATATCTTAGGTAATATCCGAATAATAAAATGATCTGAGTTCATGATAGGAGCACGTCGGCGTACTTCATATAATTCCTCATCATTAATGAACACTAGGTCAAGGATTTTATCAAGTCGAGTAGGGAATTTAACAATATTGGCATGACCTAATGATACGAGGAAAGAACAATCACAGCAGTTAAAATCTCCTGTGACAACTGATAAAGAGTTTTCAAGATGTGTAACGGCGAATTCAGTGAATTCATCAGCAAAATCAGATAGATCAGATGCAGAACAGCCAGGAGTAACATAAATGTTAGAGATGAAGACGTATTTGAATTTGGATAAGTGTTTCGGGCGGCATTTGACCGTTATACAATCAATAAAGTCATTAGAGTAAGAAAAACATACGTTATTTGAAGTTGACCATTGAGAATGAATGAAAGTTGCAACACCTCCACCTCTTTTCTTTCTGGAGCATAGTTGATCTTGTCTAAACAATGTAAAATCATTTAGGGAAACCAGATTGTCATCATAGAGTTCATGGAGCCATGTTTCTTGTAATGCAACAATCGCCGTATTGTGATAAGTATTAGATGATAAGAGAGACTGGAGATGCATAATTTTGTTGGGAAGTGAACGGCAGTTTGAAGTGACAATAACAGGAATGGTTGTACGATATAAAGGTGTCTGTTTAAGTGCACACTGCCAGCCAGCGTGATGTTTTCTCTTAGAATAATTAGATGCATTATTAGTTGCATGAAAGTCATATGGTTTAAAACGTTTAATGAATGAATTACTGTATTTTATGCGATTTGTGATCATATTTTATTAAAATTAGGAATGAAAACATGACTTATTAGATGCAATATGTAGATGCAGAAAAAAGGTAGCCCAGATGTCAAACAGGCCGCCACTAGCATTAGAAAGCAAAAGTCGTCAACAGCTTGATCGTTAAAGTCTAGCAATTGACGCCTACATCCTGATTTAAGTACAAAACCTATAAACAGGAGATACAACTTCAAGTGAACATGAAGAAGACTGAGGTGATGAAGATATCCAGTGGTCAGTGATAACAAACTCCACTTGACATCGATGAGAAGAAGGTCACGTCAACAACAGGCAGCGCTAATACGAACGACAAAACATTCAGCGGTTCATTACTTTGAAACCACAGCCACAATCAACAGCACTCTGTATAAAGAACACGATCTGAATTTTCAATACTCATATCAAGTTGTTGCTTCTATATATGGTTCATGGACTTGTTGCGCGCGTCAGCGAAAGCATTTCCAACAAGCTGGTGCAGACATTCATCAGCACTTGCCTTCACTGTCTCGATACTGGAGATCACATTGCTGGTCTATAAAAGTAAGCAACAAGGAACTCTGTCAGTACAGGGAATCAATCGAATACCTACTACTACCCAACAAATATGTGGAGGTAAATGTCGATGGGTTGGACATACACCCTCATTAGACGTCTAAGTGACATCACACGCCATGCAGGCCTTCGAGTGAAATCCGAATAAGAAAGCGAAGAATTCGGTAAAGATCTGAGTGACGTGCAGAAGATAGTATGAGAAGGAAATCAAATCTTATGGGTGATCATGGAGACAGTTAAAACAAACTGCATAGAACTGAAAGAAGTGCAGATGTACTGTCGAAGGGATGAATATTTAATATGGCTTACCTTCTGATCTGTATTTTCTCCACAATTTGTAATATATCGCATAAATAGCCCCCTTTGCTTTAGCCAAATCTCTCAACGTAATAAGTCCATCATCTTTTGATAATTCAGAGGACCCATTACCACAATCTTTTACATTGTAAACTTCAGTTTAAACAATTATGAAAATGAGTCCGAAACAATAGCTGACGTGTCATTTCATTTTCTGCTTTTGTTTTTTGTAGATGTGGATTGTTGTGCAACAGAAATGGATGTACTTGGAGGCAATATTTATGGGTGGTGATGTAGCTAAACAACTACCACAAGAAGCTAAACGTTTCGAGACAATCGATAAATTATTTCGTAAAGTAATTCGTACTCTTTTTTTGTTAGAAAACAAAAGTACTAACTAGAAATTCATATTTATATCTTTTGAAAACTACTCAGTTCGAGGTGAAAATCCCATCATGGTTTCCCATAGTTACTTAAACTATTCGGATAGCAATATATCGTTTGCTTGATACTGTAAATAGTAATCAAGGGAGAGTGAGAAATCTTCTTGCATTACATAGTACTGACAGATATTAGTAGACGAGAACCACTGGCATCAAACAACCTATTGTACTTGCTGACCAGAATGAAGTGGTATGAATCCTATACGGATCTCTACACCCAATCTTACCAGTTACAATGCTGATGAACTTTACACCGAATCAGCAAAACTGGTATCCAATGGTTAAACCACTTCTACGTGGATAACGACCATTGTACTAAGTTAAATATTCTTTTCTACATTTTATTATCAAACACACTGAGTTATGGATAGAAGTGATAGTGCAGATCAACTGTTCGGTCGATTTTTGTCAGAAATATGAATCCCGTTTTGAAATCTAAGATGTTTAGTTTTAAAATAACATAAATTAAGTCAAATTAAAGTCCTTAACTTAACTATACCACATGTCAAGTGATCAACAACGGAAAACTCAGTGAGGCGTTTAGAGTAAACACAGGAGTCAAACAAAGGTGCTTATTATACAATTGGTGGATGGTGGCTAGCAGTGGAATCCAGGATGCGCATTTCGTCCTATTTCGGACTCGTCACTGGATGTACCTGCATTTCTCAGTGAGTCATGATGTTCCCACTATCGAGGCTCGAACCCAGTGCCCATAGTTTCAAACGCCAAAGCGTTATCCACTAGACCACTTGGGCCACGAGAGCTGGCCACCTCTTGTGCAACGGGTCATATTAATTATTGAATTGAATTATTTTGATTTTCCCGTCGATTGATTGGACCGAAGTGCACGGTCTCAGGTTGACATGTTGGCTTCTTGTGCAGATGCTTCGACGATGTCTGGGTATTTAATTAGTATAGAATTGGTGGATGGTGGCTAGCAGTGGAATCCAGGATGCGCATTTCGTCCTATTTGGGACTCGTCAGTTAGATGTCAATCTGAGACCAAGCACTTCGATCAAATCAATCGACGGGAAAATCAAAAATTCAATTCAATAATTAATATGACCCGTTACACAAGAGGTGGCCAGCTCTCGTGGCCCAAGTGGTCTAGTGGATAACGCTTTGGCGTTTGAAACTATGGGCACTGGGTTCGAGCCTCGATAGTGGGAACATCATCACTCACTAGGAAATAAAGGTACATCCACTGGCTGATGAGTTCCAAATAGGACGAAATGCGCATCCTGGATTCCACTGCTAGCCACCATCCACCAATTCTATACTAATTAAATACCCAGACATCGCCGAAGCATCTGCACAAGAAGCCGACATGTCAACCTGAGACCGAGCACTTCAGTCCAATCAATCGACGGGAAAATCAAAAATTCAATTCAATAAGGGTGCTTACTATCACCAATGATATTCCTAAATATGGTGGACTGGATTATGCGTCAAAGATTATGAAACGAGAAACGGGACAGGGATATCCTGGATCGACCGACGTGAAGAACCTAGAAGACCTGGATTTCGCGCGTGGATGACTTATGTTTGATGTCACACAAAATCGAAGGCTTACAAGCGAAAACCGACAAACTGTTCGAAGAAGCAGCCATTGAAGACAGAACTCCAAGTGAACATAGACAAGACGGAGGTTATGAAAATAACCAACCAACCAACGACAACAACAGCAGGAACATGAAGAGTCAATCACCATCAACGCGAGGGATTTGAAAGAGGTTACTTCATTCACTTATCCAGCTAGGGAGCATTGTCTCAACTACAAGAGGAGGAACGGACGAGGATGTCAAATCGAGCGAGAATCGGGTAGGCAGGCGAGAAACACATTCATCAACCTGAAACAACCAATCTGAAAATCTTCGTCACTCAGCCAGAATCAACAACAAAATTCCGTTGGATTTTCAATACAAACATCGTCAAGTCAGTCAGTTCTTCTATACGGATCGGATCAGAAACTTGGCGGGCGGGCGGGTTACAAAGAATATTTCCAGCAGCCTGTTGCAGAAGTTACCTTTATTAACAACTGTCTTCGCTGGCTCTATACTGAAGATCAGATGGCCGGGCCGGAAAGAATCATCAACAAGAAACTATGGGAACAAACAAAACAAAACAAGAAGCAATCACCAACCAACAAATATGCAGTTGGAGGAAGTGAAGATGGACTGGACACTCGCTCGCTGAGGAGGCAGGCCGCTGGGTGGCATCATGCGCGTCAGGCCATTGCTCGAGTGGAACCAGGCCGAAAAGGAAGCGGTGAGTGGGACGTCAGTGCAAGGGTGGGTGACATGGAGGAGATCGTGTGAAGAGAGAGGAGTTGAAACAGTATGGACTAACATGGATGGAGGTGAAAAGTACAGCAGAAGGAAGACAGAAGCGAGTGGAGACGTGCAGTTGAAGCCCTATGTTTCACTAGGAACCCAAGGGAACAATAATAATAATAACAACTATACTATTGAAATATATGTCTAGAATAGATGAGACGTATGACAAGGAAAACAAAAATCAATTAGGAAAATCTCTTAGAGCATGACATCCGCGACGGACAGTAATCCAGAAAGCACTATGGGAAGAAAATTGTGAGTACAGTCAATAATAAATTAATTCAGAGGTCAGATATTTTAGTAAACATTTGTTTCAACAGTGACTGGAAGCAATAATCGCTTGCTTGTTTACATTTCTTCGTGTACACTGCATTGATGAGTCCTACCTGGGACGAAACATGCGTCTCCAATTTCACTATTACATATCATCAACCAGATAACATATTTTAATTTCACTCACATGCTTATCAAGTGATGACTACATAAATTACATATAATTGGTATTATGCTGTTTGTACAGAGCCGTGGTTTGAAAAATAGAGTAGAAGAACCAAAGAAGAAAAACATTTACAATAAATTTAATTGAGGTTTTTAGCCAACAAACAAGGAATAAAAAAAATAAAAACTACTGTCCATGCGGTAGGCGATTTCATCATAAATAACATGTACTTCATAACTATAGCAATTCAAAACCCCATGAAATCAACTCATATATGTTTCAACAAGCTCCTAAAGTGAATCAAAGGTAGCGGTAGCCTTTCCCTATTCACAGATGTACGTGTGTTTAAAAGTTTTCGTCTGCGGAGAACCTAAGTTCTAAGTTTCCCGTTGATTAAATTATACTTTACATCATAAGTTAAAAAATTTTCAGCGGTATCAAGTCGCCTAGCTTGCAAACTTAGTCAGTTGATTTCTGTCAGCATCAACGACTAGATGACAACACTTTCTTGAGTTATATGCCTTCTGTAGTTTCAGTCTTTTGGTAACTTCACTTCATATCCTTACGGTTATATACTTCTGTTAAAGGTCAAGGAAGTGACAATAAGGTCAATTTTTCATATCACCTGGTAATAAAACATGCGAATTTACTTATCGAGCGAAATACGACGGGAGTAAAACAAGCTGGCTGTCTACTATCTACAATGATTTTCCTGATTGTGAGGGGTAGACTGGATGATGCAAAAGACATAAAATGGATCCACACAAAAAACTTGATATATTTATAACTGATTTGACACAAACTGCAAGATATGCAAGTGAAAAGCAACAAGCTGGCGGAAGATGAAGCATCCAGAGAAGATAGGACTTCCTTCAGGTGAACATAGAGAAAAGCGAAGTAGGTGATGAAGACTCCTGGTAAACAGAAACAGCAACAACAACAACAGACAATGGACAATAATCAGTCAGCATAAATGAGAGGAATCTGAAAGAACCAATCTCCTTCACCTACCTACCTACCTGGGAAGCATCGTTTCAACTACAGGCAGACGGAACTGACGAGGATATCAAGGCGAGGATCGGTAGAGCGAGGCAATCTTCTATTACTCTCAAATGTGTGTGGAGATCAAAAGCACTCAGTAAGAAAAATAAGATCCGGATTCTCAACTCCAATGTGAAGTCAGTGCTACTATACAGATGGATCAGAGACTTGGAGCATCACGAAGAGCACCTCAGACAGACTACACACCTTCATCAACAGCTGTCTTTGCTCAGTACTACTCAAGATCAGATGGCCGGCCAGGAAAGATCACGAACAGTGAGGGATCTCTGGCAATAAGCGAACCAACCCAGCAGGAGCCGATTGTGCAACAAATGTGGAGGAAGACATGGAGGTGGATCGGCCATACTTCGAGAAAACAAACCATCAAACGAGTGACATCGCACGCCAGTCCATCGCTTTCGAGTGGAACCCGAACGCAAAGTGGCGAGTTGGCCGTCCAAGGGTGACATGCAGGAGGGGATGTGAAGGGGAGACAAGAGCATGTGGGGACGTGTGGATCCAGGTGAAAACGTTTGTGGAGAACTGAAAGCAATGTAGATGTTCTCCTGAAGCCCTATGTTCCTCTAGGAACCAAAGGAAACAATGATAATAATAACGACAATAAATGATGAACATCGTTCAGATATGGTTACTATTAAGTGATACGATTGATACATTCATGTGACGATGGGCGAGGTAAGGAAACAAGGCTGTAAAAATTTCTTCTAAACACATGGTTTTGGCTTCTTCAGGTGGATTCCGATGGCTTCAGCTGTATGTAGAAGACAAACACGTCAAGGAAAATTAGGATTAGTGGGAATGCGATAAATGATTTTAAATGTTGTATTAACATAGCCCTTATACTCACTACCTACAAGGTGCGCTAAAACAGAACTACGAATAGATCTTGTTCGTCCATTGCTTAATCATGTTGGATGATGTTCGGAAATACGATGATGATGAGCCTGTCTAATTGTATGCCCTATGTATCTGGCTCCGCAGCTGCAGTCAAGCCGGTAGATACACATGCACGAGTCAAAATTAACTAGTTTGTCCTCATTTGTCGAACGTAGAGTAGGAGTGGTAGAGAAGAGACAACGTAACTCTGCTACACACTGAAGTCTCTTTTAACTTCATTCCTCAGGTGCTATGTTGCTATTTCGCTGATATTGTCACCGAGAAAATGCAATTCTATGAACAATGGATTTTTGGAAGTGTTGCCATACTGTCTCTCCTTGTTGCTAAATTCACGTATCTCTCAATGAATTTATCTGGATAACCATTTTTACTAAATAACTCTCTAATATTCTTAATCTCCTCATTGAGGAAGTCGTCTGAAGAGATTAACCTAGCTCTATGAACCAGACACTTTACCCGGTTACGTTTATATTTCAAAGGTGCAATATGAATTACTTACCAAGTTACTGTACAAGATGCAGGAAAGTAAGTTGTAGGCCACGGTAATTGTAAACAACCAATTTTTAAAGGTTGTACTATTGGAATTCGACCGGTCGATCTGATGTAAACAAGACACTAAGCCAAAATAATTCAGATGAAAGCAAATTTACCTAGATAAGACAACTTATGTTTGCATGTTGACTAATTAGCACAGGGTTCTACTACTTCATTAATAAAAAGAATGATTTGCCCAATAAATCGTCTTTCATTGGTTGTAGGATTTTATCATGAGCTGACAACAGTTTGGAGAACCATTGGGAAATCATTTGGAAGTCCTGGACAACTTTCTCGTCCTAGTTTGAGACACTTCAGTAACATGTACTCATCGGGGTACTTTGGCTGATGTCAGCTCATGATGAAATCCTCCAATCAATGAAATAAAAAATCTCAACAAAACCAATACCTGAAAGCCGTCTTTCACTTGCTTTCACTGCTGTCGTTTCTACAAGTGGAACATTCATTCCATAATGGAGAAAACTTATTTTGATAAAGTCTCACAGTTTTGTTATACAGTCATACTTACTGATGACAATGTTTCGAGCACAGTTTATTGCTGCTCATAATCATAACAAGTTACCTACACAACTTTCTAACTTCATTTGTATAATTCCATCATTTTTCACCTCTTGATTTGACGGGTAGTAGAATTTCCCATATCTCTTTCCTATATTATTCACTAGAAAGATCAAAAAGACCAAAAGTAGAATAAAAATAATGGTGGAACTAATAATGATAGGAAGAATATAAGGCATCTACAGTTTAACTATATAACTAGGGGACATCTGATACCCTCATTAAAGCAGGAGTTAGGATGGCATTTAAACTTACAAACACACTTAGAGACAAGCTCTGTAGGTTGAATGACCCTGTTGACCCAATTAGACAAAAAATATTATTCACACAATACCTGACAATAACTGTGATGTCAATTACATAGGGCAAACTGGTAGATCGGGAGTAGTCAGATTGTCAGAACGTAAGAATTTAACTAAGGTAAGAATGTTTGATCCCATCCGTGAAGATAAGTAATTTAGAAAAACGCTCAGCAATTGCAGTACATACATTAACACAAACACACAATAGAGTGGGAAATACAAAAACCTTTATTATAAAGAGTGGCAGAAGGTTAAAATTCTAAAAATTAATATAGGTACGTTGAGAGAGGAGTTGATTACTGAATCCTTGTTCATCGAATCTACACCAAACACATGGCATAGGAATGACTCATCACTCGAAGCGGAAATATGGAAAATACTATTACCAATCAATTCAAGCGATGAAATATAATAATGGAATTATATGGACGAAGTTAGAAAAGTGTGTGTGAGTAGTGCCTTGATATGATGACTAGGAGCAGGGTAATAAATTGTGCTTGAAAGGTGGTCATCAGTAAATATTACTGTATAACAACACTGTGAGACTTTATCAAAATAAACTTTCTCCATAGTGAAACTATACGGTAGCACAGTGCACAAGTTTTATCCTTATATCAATGGAACATTTATTATTGCACAAAATGACACACACTTCTGAAATATTGATTTTAATATCACCATTTTACCTATTCTTCTTTTTACTGTTCACCCTTATTCCTATGCCATACTTCGTAGAACTCTGAAGACTAGCTGTGAGTAGGGCAAGTGGAATCCCATTGGGCCATCTCGTTGATATTGTCATTGATAGGCACTTAATATCATGTAAAACATTTGCTAAAGGAATTTTGTCAGACTGTGAGCATCCACTTTACTTACCCTCAGCTTCAACCTTGTGTCTCCTCAGGTAAAACAAGAAGTCTTTTCAGAAGACTTTATGCACGTACGTCTAAGTATAAAAGTTCAACTATACCATATTTCTCAGCACGTACTTTATGTGATGAAAATAGTGTCAGGCATGAACTAACTAAACTTCTTCGCACTACTAAATAAACCATTTCTTCCACCCTTACAGTACCAAACTTGATTGTTATTGTATTTCTTATATTTATAATCCTCTCAGTGTTTTGTTATTTATTTTTTTTATTAAGTGTGAACATCATTTAAGCTGTTTTATAACTGTTAATTTTGTATTTCCCCTCACCATGCTGCTATATCAATAGAACATTAGATTCAAAACACTATAACATGCTAAAATTTCCAAACTGTTTGAAACAAACTCACTGTTATTATTATTATTAATATTTAATGATTTCAATTCGTGCTTCGAATATTTTTGACTTTATATCGTAAACACGGACAAATTCCTCCGGTTGCTTTTGTTTTAATTTTATTTATATTTTAAGTAAATCAGATGCCATAGTGTGACAAATGCTTAGAATTCCATTCTGTATTATAAATACTGTTTTGGAATAAAGCAGATTATTATTATTATTACTGTTTAGCTAGCAGTAAGATCCAGAATGCAAATTTCATCCCATTTAGGACTTCTTAGGTGAATGTACCTTCGTCCCGAGTAAATGATAGTGTTCTCATTCCCATCATCCTAATTTATCGATTCAAGCATTCAACGCCTTTTGTAATCTCTCTATTATATTCACCCAATATATTCTTTTCTTTTTTTTATCTAGATTATGCGTCAAACTAAAGAATCCCAGTTTGTGCTAAAAAGTTGTCTAATTGAACATAAACTTGACCCATTGAAATCATTGAGTCGTGATTTAGAATTATGTCAAAAAGCATTAAACGATTATTTGGATTCAAAAAGGAATGCTTTCCCAAGATTTTATTTTATATCAGATGATGAAGTATTAGGCATACTTGGTGGAAAAGAACCTGAAGTAATCCAAGAGCATATTGTTAAAGTGGGTTACGCTGCTTTATATATATATATGCCTTTTTGCATAATATTTACTACTTTTTTGACGTCTTCATCTTGATATGTTGTTAAAATTGGAATTTTCATCAGTTTCTTCTGTGTGTGTGTGATACTGTAGAAATTTAAGACTGGTAATTATAAGGCTGCACTTCTATCGTCTACGAAAATTTCTTAACCCACTTAAAGTCAAGCGGAGTTGGCTTCATATTCAGTCATTTCATGTGAAATATACAAACATCCTGTGGTGTTTTTTTTAACAGTTGCCAGCTGTCGTAGGACCCGATCCAATGGCCAGTCCATGAATTCTAACTTCTGCCAATTCACGATATAGCGCGACCACTAACCAGTGTCTTCAGCGAGTATTTGTCCTCACACCCGACCTGCTGCACCCTACTGGTCATGACTTCCCACTTGAATATCAATGAGATGCTCACTGGCGACTGGTCCTATTCAGGTAGGTAGTTACCTGGGGTTCTAGTGGAAAGTCATGAGCATTAGGGTGGAGCAGGTCGGGTGTGAGGACAAATACTCGCCGAAGACATTAGCTAGTGGTCACGCTATATCGTGAGTTGGCAGAAGTTAGAATTCATAGGCTGGCTGACCATTGGATCGGGTCCCAGTGGCTTAATGGTCTACGACCTCGCCTTGAAACCAGAAAGTCCTGGGTTCGAACCTCCTGTGGTGGGTGCGTATTGCTGAAGAGTCCCAAACTAGGACGAAACAGCTGTCCAGTACTCCCTGTTGGTTTTCCAATGGTTCTCTAACTAATATCAGCTCATGATGAAATCTTTTAACCGATCAATCAAATCCCTACAAACCAATACTTAAAATGTAGAAGTATCTGGAAATGCTAATAGAAGAGAAACTAAACATATTTTACGCTAATCAAAAGTATCTAGGCATTTGCTAGTCTAAATGCATAAACAAAATTTCATCTAGAGTCTTAAGGACAGTATTATTTAAGAATATAATATTACCAAGTTGTACAATCGTATGCATATGATTTTTAAGGAACTATATCCTGTGAGATAATGTGAATAGGAACGAAATATTCGTCATTATAACCATATTAATATGTTACCAAACAATAAAAGAAGGTTATTTCCAATGTAGATTTTCGTCACAAACGAACACCAGTTGGAGAGATTATTGAAAACCATGCTCTACTGGACAGTTCCATCTTGTCCTAGTTTGCGAATCTCCTTCAGCGCACACCTAGGACTTACTTCATCAGATATCAAACCCGAGATCAATCTCGTTGACCATTCAGTCATTTGGGTCCGACTTCAATGACCTATAATGTAAAACAGGTTATAGAATATACCAAAGGATGCATAGGGCTTAAAGATCTTGGAAATTGGTGGAAAACCAATAGGTTAATAGGTACAGTAGGCAAATAAAAACAATACGTAACAGAGTGAGGAGTTTGACAAGATAGAGTTTAAGATTACAGAAATTACATGAAAATAAAATACAAAAATGGGACAAATAACACAATACCTGAAGCTCTTCAAAGTAAAAGTAGCGATAACGATCGAAATAGCAAGGTTAAGGTACATAGGTTAAATAAACAACACGAATTTTTAAAGACATTTTTTATTCCTGTACGTTCCCAGTGGGATATAGGACTTCAAGCTAGAGACTTGAAGTTTCTGTAGCGGTAATGTTTATTTTTACGGGATGAGGTAGCTAGCCTCGTGCCCAGCCTTCTTTTTTTACCAGTCTTATTAATGGTTTAGTGAAGTAAAGGGGTGTGTCGGTGGCCGGAGGTAGAACTCCGAACCACATGCGTAGTTGGCGAGCATTCTACCATTGTGTCACCGGCGCACATTCAGGTGAATAGCCAAGGCAGAAATAGAGACTGTACACACTTCTTTTATGCATAAAGGTCTGGCTTAAATGCATGAATAGCCAAGATCTTCCCTCGTTCAAGTGGTTCGGAATGAAGAAAATGTGGCAAGTTGTTATGCATTCGATCGATGATCTTAAAATCATGTTGACAGCCGACAGAGTGATAGAAATCGATTATGGATTTTAGAATACAGCTTATCGAACCCATTCTTTGTGTTTTGTAAAACTGTGCTGTAATTTGCTCTCGAATCCCTGTGGAAAGCATTATCTGGCTACAGTTGAAGTGTCTTGCTCCACAAAAGCAAGTGGACTAATAGATACAAATTTGAAGGCGGCTTTTTACTGAAAATACCCAAGAAGGACAAAGTCTTGCCTGATTCACTTTATTTGTTTATTTATTTATCATTCAGTTAATCTATTCACTGATCTCTTGTTGTTTATCTCTTGTATTATATCTAGATGTTTGATAATATTGGAAAAATTCAATTTACGCATTCTTCGTATTCATCAGATATATCCGCCTCTGCGTTAATATCATTTGAAGGCGAAATTATGTCATTTATTAAGGTGAATTGGATTCGTCTTGTTTGATATGTTCTTTATTTATTTATTTATTATTTATTTCTATTAATTTCGGCAGACTAATTATTGTGATGCAATGTTGACATTGAAGTGGATTATTACTATTATTCCTTTAGGTCTGGGGTAGGATATATGCCTTCAGAAGCACATCTCCATTGCATCCTGTTATGTGCAAGCTTTTTAGTTATCTACCCATAAACTTTTATCTCCTTATATCATGTTATACTTGGACATACTTGAACTTCGGATTTATCGTTTCCCATTCGGGTATCACTCAAGAGGTGAGTGCTCGATATCATTCTACGGTCTCTCCAACTTATATCCAGTCCAGGTCTACTTCTTTCTGCATATTTGTTGGGTCATAGGTTGTTGGTCGGTTCGTCTCTATAGTTCCTTGTTTCTCATTCTTTCTAGTTAGTCATCTAGTCTTCAGTATTAAGGTACAGATATCAGCTGTTGATAAAAGTCTGTTGGAAATGCTTTTCGTGAAGTGTCAATTCTCTGAACAATATAGAAGCATTGATTTGACTAAATCAAGATAGAAGTTAATCTCAACGAAGAATATTCTTTTCAATAATCAGATTGTTCTGAAGACTGTGTAGAGAGAGAGAGAGAGAGAAATCCAGGTCATCCGAGACATTCTAAGCGAGAACGGATATCCAGAGAGGTTCATTAAAGCCAACATAGGTTGCAATAGCCGTAAATATGAACTGGCAACGGTGGAGAAAAAGCCTCTGTTTTCACGTCTCCAATTCAGTGGAGATACTCCTGCGGAGATTGTATCGCAACGTTTAACCTAGGACGATCAAAAAAACTTTCTACTCTGCATATCTGTGTCTAACTTACAGTAGCCGTTCAGTGTTCACTCAGCAACTCAAAGATGTCTTACCTAACCTTAGCTCTCATTCATGCATATACCATTTCAACTGTTCCTGTGGTTCAAGTTATATAGGGCGCACGATTAGGCAGGTTCGTCTACGGGTTCAAGAACATTTACCAGCTTGGATCAGCAGGGGGGGAATTAAGTGCATAAAAAGCTCGATCCTGTCACACTTGCTCGATACTGGACATCGCATCGATGCCAACGCAGCCTTCGGGTTTATGTACCGAATTCCGAAGTCGTTATCACGTACAGTTCGATTACGTCTCCTACACACTGTTGAAGCTGTTGCAATAAGCTCGACTAAACCGGAACTTTGTATCCAAAATGAACACGTCCAGACGCTGTTCCTATCGTGGCCAAACTTGGATTGATGATTCTTCTTCTCACCAAGATTCCTTCTTCCCCTTAACCCTCTTGGATTTTTTCTTTTATTTCCTTATTATTACAAATACTATTATTACAATTATTATTATTATTATTCGTCATAATTTATGCCCTTCATGCAAACATTCCCTCAATACTATCGAATTTTTCATTTATACTATCCGGAATTATTATTAGTGATATTATCTGTTTTCTCAATATATGCCTTCACCTGTTTCATTTAACATATTCGTTATTTTATCATGAACCTCTCATTGCAGTCTTACCATCTCCTGTTTAACACAGACCACTTTATACTAGCTACTCACTCACCTGACACCTTTTATAACCTTGAACTGATTTGTCAATTTTCCTATTCCACACTCTACAATTCTATTATGATTAATCCCCACCATTGTCGCTCGTTTTACAACATTTTGTAATCGATTTCAGCCAACTAGCACTTTTGTCACACAGGTACAATTATTTATTCTGACACCCATAACTAATCTGTTATTCTACGCTTAAAAATGTATCCGCTGCATAACTGGTCATAATTTTAACGACAACAAATATTATATTTTATAAATGTAAGGACCTGAAGAGGAGAAATTATCGAAAAGAATATTCTTCGTTCATATTGACTTTTAATTCATGGGAAATGGGAATATTTCACACTATCAAATCAAGATAAGGACTATCCATTTGAATACTTTTACGTGCCCCTTTGGCTAACTGATACCATAGCTAATTCATCAAATGAAATTGAGGCTGAAATGATGTTTACGACCATTATTTTTGTCGGGAATTATGCATATCGGGAAGCAGATGTTTCGATTTTCGCCTTCATCCTTCAGTCTTCGTTTTAATTCTAGTCATCTCTATGATTAATATTGTTCTAAATAATCAAGAGTAATGAATTATATGATACAGTGGTCAAGAAAGCTACTAAAGATATTTATATGTGGATGTCCAAGGGCGACATAAATAGCTAATGTGAAGAAAGGAAGCAGAGCTTTCAGGCAGCTGTGGAACAATCTAAACAAGACAGTAGAAGAGAGAATGAAATGGAAGTGTACTTCTAAAGTCCTGTGTTCTACTGGGAATGACAGTAACAGTAACAATAGAGTATTAGTATTTGGATAGGCTTTTGAATAGAACTAATTTGTGCTTCATAACTCACTTTATATAGTCCTATTCCCTGCCTTTTTGTTATGGCAGTTTTTCATATAAAGAAGGGAAATTGCAACGGGAGGTAGATTGGGCAAACATTGAGGAGGCTGTCTAATGACATCGCACGCCAAGTCATCAAGTGGAATCTAAATGAGAAGCGATGAGTGGGTTGTCAGTGCTAGGGTAGCACGGAGGAGGTCGTGTAACGGGGAGGAGATGAGAGAGTTTGGGCGATCGTGGACCCAGCTGAAGAAAGTGGCAGAAAATAGAAGAAAAGGGAGATCTGTTGCGGAAGCCCTGTGTTCCACCCGGAATCCGAGGGAACAATAGTAATAATAATAATAATAATAATAATTGCAACGTGAGAAGACAAAGGACTTAGTAATGGCCTTTTTATGGAAGAAAATCACACCATACTTATACATTCTCAGCCAGATTTATGGCGTTCCAAATCAGACTATAAACTGTTCTAATTGGTTTTTTGATTTTCTGATAGTTAAAGCTTCAGATTATTTCCTGACCACAGAGGTTGCTAAATTCAGATTTGAGAAATAAACACTTCTACTTCTGTAGCCACTGACTTCTTAAAATGTTGTTTTCACCTTATTGTTCTTATCACTTTGTGTGGGTACGATGATATAAAGAATATGGGTCAGGTTTAAATTAATTAGTGTATCGAGAATCCTCTGTTTTACCGGGATTTATGTTGTTAATAATATTGAGATAAAAAATCAGGTGGCTATTCAGTTGTATGTCGAGAGAGTGACTTCAGTTCACATCAGTTTACATTGATTATTATATAGTTTTCTTTAGTTCCTAGAGGAAAATATAGCTTCAGCCTGACGTCTCCAACAAATTCGCTTCTCCGCCAACGTTTTCACCTAGCTCCACGTCTGCCTACTTGCTCTCATCTCCTCTTCACATCACTTCCTCCATGTCAACCTTGCACTGACGACCAACTAACACGCAGTTTCCCACTCGAGTTCCACTAGGGAGCGATGGCCTGCATTGCGTGTGATGTCACTCACTTGATGGTTTGTTTTCTCAGAGTATGGCCAGCCAATTCTGTAAATGCTGATCATTTAGTTATATTTTACCTATTCTTTGTGTTCCACTCGGAACACAAGGCTTCAAGCTTTAAGTCTCGATGTTTTTTTCATTTACAAAGTCGGGTTGTTAACCCCGCGTCCAGCCTTCCCTCTTTTTATGGCTTTTTACCAGCTAGATGAGGTTTAGAAGTGGATCGTTCAGAAACTGAGCCTGAACCTCTCATGTAGCAGTTGAGCATTTTAAGACTCAACTGATAAAAACTAATATTATTAGGGAGTATTTGATACAGTTGAATTCGAGTTGGTTGGAGTTTGATTTGAAGTCAGAATACTGAAGTTAGAGCCGATGACGTTGTCTAGAAGGAAAATGAAAGCTTCGCGATAAAATCATCCAACTCACAAAACACACTAAGAGTAAAATATAATTTACACTTCAATAAATACTACTCCTTCACTGTAATTTGTTAAATGCATATCTCTTTAACTCTTTCTGTACATTTTTATAGCCTGTATTTGTAACTGGTAAAGTTGAAGAATGGTTAACAATGATGGAAGCTGAAATGCGAAGTACAAATCGTTTATTAACTAAAAAGGCTATCTTTTATTATTGTGATCAAAAGTCACGTGTTGATTGGATGTTTGATTTTCAGGTGAGTTTGTGTGAATTTCAAATTCACTTTACGGTAATATTGATTTCTTTCCTGACATAGATTTTTTCACAGACCGACGTCATATATGGAAAAACCACTGAGGACCAAACATCTCTTTCGTCCTAGTTCGGGACTCTTCAGGAGTTGAACTCCGTTGGATCTAGGCTAAACTGTTGATAGGTCAGCGGGTTTCCCCATAATCTGAAGGTACTAGGTCCCATCTTCAGGGTAGTTATAAGTGCTTAGTGCTGAAGGGTTCGAGACTAAGTTGAGAAGATTGTCTGCTACTCCCTGATTTTCTGTCATTCTGTTACCCATGTCAGCTAGTGACCTAACATGAAACCATTGTTTCGAATAATAATTTCAAGTAAAGGTCTGAGAAAGACGTTAAGCGTTATTATATTAAATAGCTGAAATGTTTTGCCTAGATGTTATAGAATAAAAAGGTATTACAAGGGGTTTAGTGACGTGACTAACTGTCTTACCCTATATTTCTAAACTGTTCATTTAAATAAATAATAATAGAGTCATTAGTGAGTATTTAACAGCCCTTAAAGAAGGATTTGTAATTATTTTGAAGATTTATTAGCCATCGCTATACTGCTTGTATAATGATAGTCAGAGTGATCAAATCTACACTATGTAATTTGAGAGAGAGAGAGAGAACAAGACACACTGTGCTACTCTACCCAATTAGCAGAGTCAGTGTTCAGCTGTAGACAAATATATGCCAGTTCACGATAATCAGTTCGTTATAAGACTGTTGGTGTGTGCTGTGTTATACGAAAATGCTGACGACCATCTGAATATCACTTTGAGGCTCACTTGCGATTGACTCTATTCAGGTAAGTAGTCATCTGGGTTCTGGCGAGAAGTCGTGACCAGTTGGATACAGCTGATCAGGAGTCAGGACAAATACTCGCAATACATCATGAATTGAGAGAAGTTGGGATTCATGGCTTGACCATCGGATTGGGTCCCAATGGCTTAGTGGTATACGAGCTCGTTATGTAACTGGAAGGTGCTTGGTTTGAACCCTGATGGTGGATGTGTATTGCCGAAGAGTCCCAGACTAGGACGAGAAAGTTGTTCAGTAATCCCTGAAGGTTTTCTGATGGTCCTTAAACTTATATCAACTCATAATGAAATTTTATAACGCAATCACGTCCCTGCAAACCAACACTTAAATAAAGTCTATGAAGCAGATTATTTTCAGGATTTGAATAAAGTGTTTATGTCGACCAGTATGCCGACGAAAGTTTTGGTAGATAGCCTTAAAATCCAATGATCAGCTTTCGCCAACCTCAATTATCTACATTTTAAAGTGTAAAATCCTCGTATGATAGAAGACAACGTTAAAGAGCTCGATGTCTAATCAAGTACACTAGACTGATTAACAAATCGGTTATCAACATTGCATAAAATGCTGTAATAATCTCATAATGCTTAAAGACAGCTTACCTCTTCAAGGTATACACTTTCAACTGCCACGTCTCACAGCCATACATATAGGCTGAGTGATCTATTGTGCAGTATACATGTCCTCTGATGGATAACCGGTTATTATGTCTACACAGATATTGAGATTTTATCGGCAGTAAATCGATTGGGGCTGGTACAACTCCCAAAATAAATGAAGTAGATAGCACATTCAAACACCTCTCCTTATCTTTAAACTAGGAGTAAGTGCAAACCAGTTAAGAATATAAGAAGACGTTAAAAATAGGGTAATGAAGTAGGTATTCTAAGTGGTAGTTAGAAACATTGAGACATTTGTACTAAAATGAATTTCATTCATAATGATAACGATAATAGCTTTATTCCAAAACAGTACTTGCGATACAGAGTGGAATTCTCAGCATTTTACTACAGTATTGCATCCAGTTAGTAAATTAACAATAAAATAAAATTCTACATAGATTAAGGGTAATCTCAGTTAGTTTTGACAACAACATATTAGCATGTCGGTAGCAAAGACAAAATTAAACAAAGTCTTTGAAAGTGCTAGAAAAGTAGGTTCTAGCATAGTTACTGACGTAAGCAGAAGAAAGAAACAAAGCTGCAAATAACAGAAAAAAGAGAGAGAAAGGGAAAAGAAAGAAAGAATAACGTTATATCTATAAATGATATGAGTTAGAAAGACGATACTGTTGTGTAAAACGGCTGCAGCGTCTCAAGTACTCCTACCCTGTTTGTAGGCAAATTGTTTGGGGTCTTCAAAGCTTTTAAGGGAGAGTTCGAGTTAAAGAAGTACTAGTTTTTCCATAAGCTTTAGAAACGGGGAAGTGATAGCAATGGGTCTGAACTTTACGTTCTTGCTATTGCCAGGTTTAGGGACAGAGACTATTTTAATGTCTTTCCATAGAACAGGTACAACGTTTTCGGAGAAAGAAGCATTTAGGATGTTGGTCAGAGGAGAACATAAAGCATCTGCGCATTGTTTAAGAGCATATGCAGGTATACCATCAGGGCCAAGACTACATGAGGGCTTAACAGTTTTAGAACATTTTAGAGCATCGAGAGTGTTAAAGTCCTGGAAGTTGTTACCTACATGATTAGTAACATTAGAAGTGGTTATAATAGAAAATGAGCGTATAAAAGACTGATCAAGAGCGTTAACATCATAGGAGAGAAAAACATTACATCGCTTACTATTGCCAGTAATTTCATTGAAAAGTTTCCACATGCTGATAGGAGATTTGTATGATAAAAGTGTTTGGTTACAGATATCATTAAGATTTTTGATTTCAGATTTGATCTGAGCATTAATCTTTTTAAGTCCTAACTTATCTCTGAGTTTATATAATGTTTCTTTTTGCCTGAGAAGTTGTTTGAGATGAGGAGACGAGAAGCGGTCGAGGCGTTTGAATAGTGTTTGTTTGGGGCAGCATATGTCAAAGCAGAACTTGAAATAATCCATTATATTGGTTATTGAGTCATCTAATTTACTTTCATAGAATAAATCCAAGTTAGTGTTTTTTAACATGCATCTTAGATTGAGTAGGTTGTCAGATGTGTAGCATCTTAGTTGTGCTTTCATAGATAGGTGTGAGAAGATTTTAATTTGTGTTTCGCTGTATATTTTTGGTAAAACACTGACAATACAGTAATCGGAGTTAAGTATCAGTGAACGTCTACGTGTTTTATATACTCCTTCGTCATTAGTAAAAGTGATTAGAATCTCCTTATAATTTATTCCTTTGCCAAATGAGAATATTAATAACACAATATTTAGCGAAGAGACTCTTTTCAACGAATTTGTTATCAAGCTCTACAGTTGTATGTATATACATATATATCCAGTGAGGGAAACAGGTCATAGGTGTGAATAATAAAGGTGTAAAGTAATTATAGTATGAAATGCAATTAAAATATTTGTGACTATAATCATAGTTAAATGTCAAGTAGCAAAACAATTAGCGTCACATGAAGAATAATACATAAGGTGTATAGATGTTGTAAAGGGGTGTATAATTATGGGATTAGAAGGCTGATATAAAATGTTACATAATATGGTGTGAAATTTGCTACGATAAAATTCAATATTGTAAAAACAAAAATAGTAATTTTGGATTTAGAACGACAAGTGGAACAAGAGGGAACAATTCAGAGTGAGAATAGCAATAATAATAATAATAATCGCAGTAATGTTGGGAAAGGTACATAGGTTAATGAAATAAATAAAATAAATAAATAAATGTCTAACCCTGTATGGCCAAGACAGAAGTAAGGATTGTACATACTTCTTTTGTATACAAAGGTCTGGCTTAAAGTAATGAATTGCCAAGGCCTCCACTGTCTTTAAAAGTTTGTAACGAAGAAAACGCGGCAAGTTAGCATGAATTCAGTAGATGATTTTAAAATCATGGTGAAGGTTGGCGGAGTGACAGGAGTCGATCAAAATGGAGCTTCACATACACTTCCTTTCTCCCTTGTACCACCACGCTGCTGGAATATGTTCCCATATCCGTGTGGAAAGCGTCCTCTGACTACAGCCAGTGCACCTTGCTCCACAAGAACAGGTGGACTGATAGATACACACGGAGGCGGCCAGACGGGGGAGCTTACCTTTTACAAAGATGGAGAACAACTTGCGGATGGTGAACGTCATATGTAATTTAACTCCAAAGACGTCTTACTAACTGGTTTAGAGAGACGATTTTTGAGCCCATTTGAAGCTTGATCACCTTTGAACTCCAAATTCATGAATAAGGCTTTCTTTGGAACTAAGTCGGTGACCAGTTTAGACTGCTTATCCTTCGTGTTACTGTCAATAAATCGGTTCAGGTAACCGTTTTCTGCGAGCGTAGCTTTTAAGAAGTCAAGTTCTGAGTCAACGCAATCAGAACTACAAATTTTTCTTATCCCAAAGCAGAGCGAATGAATTAGGTTCCTTTCCTGAAGATAGGCACCCAACTATAAAAATTATTTAGCTGTCCGTTTTGTGTACGTTTTCTGTGTTATGTAACATTTTATAACAGCCTTCTAATCCCATAATTATACACCCCTTTACAACATCTATACACCTTATGTATTATTCTTCATGTGACGCTAATTGTTTTGCTACTTGACATTTAACTATGATTATAGTCACAAATATTTTAATTGCATTTCATACTATAATTACTTTACACCTTTATTATTCACACCTATGACCTGTTTCCCTCACTGGATATATATGTATATACATACAACTGTAGAGCTTGATAACAAATTCGTTGAAAAGAGTCTCTTCGCTGAATATAGCGTTCTTAATGCTACAATAGGAATCATTAAGTATCTGAAGATATGTTATGAGCAGTAATACGTAGGAAAATGAAAATCCAATGTACATATGATGTTTCATTAAGCTTCAAACATCCAAGTCGTTTTCATCTGAATATTTCAAAATTACTTATTTTAAGCATATGAGAACAAAATCTGCTTCTTGAACAAAGCAAGAAGGATAAACTGAACAGGATCAGATGAATAATATTTTCAAGTAGGAATTTATCACATACAGATATCCTTTTTAGAGGACCAGAATGTAAGACCTTCCAGTTACGAGATTATATAGGTTGCAGTCTAATGACTGATGAATTGCTACTTCCGTCGTGAATTACTACCCTGTAGGCTCATGGACACATGCTTCTGAAAAGTTTCTGACTAGGAAAAAGCAGGTGTTCAGTGTTACTGCGTTTTGAATAGTCCTGTAATCGATGTTAATTTAGCTATGAAATAAACAAAATCTTTACGATTCAGCACTCCTCAAATAAATTTATTCTTTTCACCATCATTGAAATCTTTAACAGGGTATGATTGTACTAGCTGCATCACAAGTATGGTTTTCATGGGAAATTGAAGATGTTTTTCGTAGTTTTAAACAAGGCAATCGTACAGCAATGAAAGATTTCAATAAAAAACTTGAATCACAATTAAATGAAATGATTTATAAAATCCGTGGTGATTTGACAGCAAATGATATGAAAAAACTTGAAACTGTACTCATTATTGATGTACATGCTAAAGATATGGTTGAAAAATTTATTCGTGATAGGTAAGTTGATGACTTTTCCCGGGAATTAACGTTTCATTTCATTATAGAAGTGATGTGGAAGTCTTCTCAAGGAGTACGTGTTAGTAATCCATCGGCCTATAGTTTTCTATCTATCTGTGATGTAGTATAACTTCCATGATGTTGTTTTGGCTTTCAATTTTTCCATCTTAACTTATGTCTTTCAGTGAGGAGAGCTACATTAAATCACAGGTTCCTTCAAATGCAGCATTGAAGTGTATATTTTACCAGCTAAATATACACATTGAAAATTTCAATAAAAACTTCATAACCATTTTACTTACAATCTGAAACTTTTCAGTGACACAAAAATATTAATTTATTATTATTATTATATTATTATTGTCCCCTTGGGTTCCATTTGGAAGGTAAGCTTTCAAGAGGACACCTCCACTTTGTCCTATTGAAGGAGGTTCTGTTTAGCTAGCTCAACAATTGACCATAGTCTCTCATCTCCTTCACGCATGCTTTCCTCCATGTCACTTTCGAAGCGACGCCCAACTCACCATTTACCCTTTGGGTTCCTTGACGAGTGAAAGCCTTCATTGAGTAATTCCATATTAGTAGATTAAATATTCCCATAATTTATTCAGAACAAAATATTTAGAGCGAACAATTGTTTTCAATAAATTCTTCTTCAGGCTCTACAATTATAAATCCATTAATGTAAGCATACAATAGCCAGTAAAGGCGAATTAGAATCATATCAGAAAGTGTATTGTGGAACAAGTATAAGATGGGATGAAACAATAGTCATATAGTCATATAGTTTTTTAATATGCATGGTATCGTATTTACAAAATCCTGTTCATTCCACTTCATTATATTCATTATTATTATTTGACAACCGTTCATCAATAGTACATTTAATTTTAATTTTACACCATATCATCGTTATTATTTTACAATCATTCTTATTGTTGTTATTTTCAACCTTGAACTTAAGTCTAGACCGCCCCATTCGTTGGTTTATTTTCATATTGCCTCACACACCCTGATTACACTCACTCTTGAAACCTGTATTTTCTGTTAACTATATATATATATACACACATCATTAAATTAAATTATTTCATCTCATTCTGTCCCATGTTGTTATTGACCATGCATATTAAAAAACTATATGACTATTGTTTCATCCCATCTTATACTTGTTCCACAATACACTTTCTGATATGATTCTAATTCGCCTTTACTGGCTATTGTATGCTTACATTAATGGATTTATAATTGTAGAGCCTGAAGAAGAATTTATTGAAAACAATTGTTCGCTCTAAATATTTTGTTCTGAATTCCATATTAGTTTGTTTATTAAATGTATCACACAGTCAGTGAAACAGTATTATTTACTGGATGACACAGTTTTCAGCACAATTTATCGTGGCTCATTATCATATCAATTATAATCACACAACTTCGAAACTTGAGTTTCATAGTTCTCTTTGTCCTCTCCTATTTGTCGTCGTTCGGCTAGTAGAATTTCCCAGATGTCCAAATGGACAGGTGATGAATCATTCCTATTACATTTACTTGCAGTTGATTCGATAGACAAAGCTGTTATCGATCTCTCTCTCTCTCCACCGTGTTATGTTGCACTTTAACACTTTCCGCTTATCCCATCCATCCTATTGTATGGTTGTGTGTAACTGCATGTAGTGAGTGGCATAGCTGAACTATTCTCGAGATTTCTTAACTTATTTGGGTCAACCAATCTAGATTTTGCTAGGTTTTTATGTTCGGCTAGTCTGACTGCCCCTGTTCTACTACTTTGACCTATGTATTTAATCTGACAATCATTGCAGGGCATTAGTGTTATGTACTCGTCGAGTAGTGAATAGTTTTGATGCAGAAAGAGGTAGGAATCAGAAGACCACCAGGTTTACGATGATACTTGTATTTTCCAGACAAGGAAAATAATTGTCACACAAGAGTGTGAGTGAAATGGTACGAATGTACGAAATGTGTGAAGAAGAAGAATAATGTACAAGTGTCTAATACAAAAGTATATATGAAAATGGCTAATACACATGAACCAACAAGATAACGTCTTACCATGATTGGTTGTAATATCATGTGATAACAAGGTCATACTTTGTTTATTTAGTTAGTGGACAGACAAAAGCATAATGTCAGTTATAATGGAATATCAATCCATTTACACATAGCAAAGTATAATAGACTATCAAAAACAAAGCACACATTATGTGGATACATATCAATCAGATAAACTAAATCGTTTTGTTTTAAAGGCTCCACAGGATCCTTTCACCGACAAAGCTCGTTTCTAATTGAGTTTGTGGTTGGTTTGACTGTCAGTCACTTTTATTCCTGCCTTGTTAAGAATTCTGCTTAAGGCTTCCGGGGTTCCTTCTTTGTATGGAATTACTGTTGATGATTTAGATCCCTTATTGTTGGTATCGTCATTAATATTATTATTATCATTGTTATTATTATTAATTATTATTAGTCACTATTATTACTATCATTATTATGGTTATCATTATTGTTATTATTATTATCACTATCGCCACTATCATTATTTTATTTTTACATTTCTTTGCACATTTCTTGACTAATTTATCCGGGTAATTATTAAGTTTCAAGGCTTCTTTTATGTGTATCACTTCCTGTGTTAGATTTTCCTTGGTACTACTTAGTTTTTGTGCTTTGTCACTTAAACATTTCACCAATCCTATTTTTACTGACGTAAGATGGGATGATCGGAAGTCCAAATATCTGTTTGAGTGTGTGGGTTTTCTGTAAACACTAGTGTTTAGCTTCCCATCTTCTTTCCTTTTAACGTTGCAATCTAACATTGGAAGTTCCCCTTCCTGACTTTCCAATTCATAAGTGAATTGAATTGCCTCTACCTTTGAGTTGATGTGCTCGAAAAATCTATTTATATCTTGTGTTCTAAGTACAGTGAATGTGTCATCTACATACCTCCACCATACTTTTGGGGTGGGGGTGAACGTTTCAATCGCCATCTTTTCCCACCTATCCATGAATATATCTGCTACAACCGGGGATATTGGTGATCCCATGGCAACTCCCTCAGTTTGTTTGTATATTTTCCCTTGGAATTTGAATACTGTGGAAGTCAGGCAAAGCTGTACTCCCAGCATTATGTCCTCAATTGGCACTTTTGTCCTAAGTACGAGTTCTTGGTCAGAAATGAGTTCGTTTCTGACCGCCTCTATAGCCATATTTATTGGTATACGTGTATATAAACTGAAAATGTCAAAACTAACCATTTTTCTTCATTATGTAATTTTAAATTATTAGTTCATAAGAATTAGTTAGTCTAGATTTTGAGTGGCTTTTTAGAGGATCTATTACGAGGGCTAAATATTTAGATAATTCATAAGTAGGTGAATTTCTAAAATCAACTATAGGCCTAATAGGGTATCCTGACTTATGAACTTTAACAACACCATACATCCTACTGGGGTTATTAGTTCTGGGCATTAAATTAAACCACTTAGACTCACCTAGAAGCGGCTTCATTCAGCGTATAAGGTCCGTCTTCATTAAGTGCTATGTCATTCGACGGTCTCTTCAGTGTGTGTGTGTGTGTGCTACCTGGTGAGATAAATCAAAGAAGTGACCTCTTTCAAATTTACTCCGTTGATATTGATTGGTTGGTTATCTTCCTCATCTCCGTCGGCTCTATGTTCTTTCCCAAGTTTAGGACGAGGTAGTAAACTAGTGAACTAGTTAACTAGGCATTTTTAGCGTAACAAATATGTCTAAGGGAATAGGGATTAATTGGAGACATGGTGAGATGATATCACATACTGTGAAGACCTTAGAATGGGATCAGAATGATTTTTAAGTATTGATTTGTAGGGATTTTGATTGATTGGTTACAGGATTTCATCATGAGCTGACATCGGTTAGAGAACCATTAGAAAACCAGCCAGGGAGTACTGGACAGCTGGTTCGTTCTAGTTTGGGACTCTTCGTCAGTACGCATCCACCACGCGGGGGTTCAAAACCAGGACCTTACAGTTGCATAACTAGCGCGTAGCCACTGAAAACCAACCCATGGCCAACCCATGAATTCTAACTTCTGCCAATTCACAACAAAGCGCGACTACTAGCCAATATCTTCGGCGAGTATCCGTCCTCACACCTGACCTGCTACACCCTACTAATCACGACTTCTCACTAGAACCCCAGGGTAACTACCTACCTACTAGAAACGATGGATTTTTCTTGGGTCAGAGAGCGATAATCGTGCAGTCAGCTAAAATAGGATTTCAGAGAATAGGATGAAGTGGAGATGTGTTTCTGAAGACCAATGCTTCACTTAGAACCCAAGGAAATAATAACAATGGTATTAAATAGTTTAAGAATATGAAAATAAATGTTAAATTGTACTTATTTTCGTTTTGAATTCGTTATTTTCTCTTTGGAAAATTGCAAAATATGATTTCAATTTTATTTAGTATAATGGTACCAGATGATTTTGCATGGGAATCACAATTACGCTTTTATTGGGTACGTAAAAGAGATGAATTAGTTGTACGTCAGTGTTCAGCTGAATTTGATTACGGATATGAATACTTTGGATTGAATGGTCGATTGGTTATCACACCGTTAACTGATCGAATCTATTTAACACTGACACAGGTAAGTAAAAAAACTATCTATGGTCAGCTATTGGCTTAAACACACTTAAGTCAGAAGTAATACTGTAACTTCAGAAGACGGTCCAGGTAACAGATCATTTATTGAGAAAGTCAATAGATATTTATGGATTTTTATGTATATTATTATTATTCGTTATCGTTAGCAGAGAAGTAACGTCTTCTAACTCATTGTTTTCTTGCTGAAGGTTATTCTGAACTGTTGGTGGCCGTTTCTGAGAAAGTTAAGCCAAATATTTGCAAATTGTATTTCCACACGCTAAGTCTGCTGTGATTGGTTGTTGAGTCACACTCAAGGTTAAGCTTTGTTTTTGTTTTTTTTCATTACTTCAATTTGGGACGTAAAAATTGACGTAAATTGTTGTCTACAATTTTGTCTTGCAGACAGCTCTCACCACAATACTACATTAAGAAGTATATCTTTTACTAAATGGGGCATAGAAAAGTCCCATATTTACGCAGGTTAACTGTGAATGTCAATCGGATGCCAAGAATCAGTAGTAGAGAATTGTTAGTGACATGATTTCTAATCATTCACAATTATGATGATGATGATTAATTTCATACGAAAATGCACAAAATAGTGATTATAAGAAAATATTGGTAACAGTTAAATTTGGAATCATACTCAAGGTAGAAAGAAGGATAGGATGGAGACATTTCTTCTATATACATAAGTTAGGCTTTCCCATCTGAATTCATGAGACCTCGTCAACGCAAAGTATGTGGAAGCATACCGTATTCGAGGGACTCCTTTTGACTTTGAATGAATTCTCCTTACATATTGAGTGGTGAGTGTCGAATATTTATTTAGTTGTAGCACTCATTAATGATCCATTATAGCCGAGCGTGATAATATTCCTTGACTCTTCAAGATAAAGCCTGCATTGAACGACCTCTATATGTAACTCCACATGAGCAGGTTAATCGAAAAGATACGTATAAGAGTGGTCAAATGCAATAGTTTATGTTTAGAGTTATTGGAGAAAATTAAACGGTACCAGTCAAAATGCAGGATTGAAGGATATTCTTTTCGGGGAGTTTGATATTTTCTTCCTCAGAGCATCAGTCAGAAGGTCACTTTTGAACGCCACCATCATGCACAGAGCGTCTTCTTTGGTAAGGAGACGGGGCATTCCCCCTTGGCCTCGTGTTTCATTTAATATCTTCCTGAGAAGAGTGATCTTTTCATCTAACGACCCAGAGCTGCAGACTTCTTTGGATCCAAATTGCGTGAGATATCATCAGATTTCGTTTGCGATTTTCGAGTACCCAAGTGGAAAAGTTTGTCAACCGGTCATTCTAATTATTCTTTATACATAGTAATCTGTTCAGTATACTACCGCCAATCTTTCTTATTTGAGGTTTCATAAAGGCGATTTTGAACGGTTATATTTACAGTTCTACTCTAATAATTCTGTTCATTCCCGCTAAGAAGAGTTGCTTTAATGTGGATACTCTGTTTTTATGTGACACGACTAAAGTAAGGGAAGCGTTTTTGTAAGGTAGAACATAATAAACTGTTGGTTGACATGAATCCTGGAAATTTGGAGATAGTCATTCTTCAAGTATTGATTTTGTAAGGATTTTTCTTGTTTGATTCGTCGGAAGATTTGATCATGAGCTGACGTGAATTAGAGAACCACTGGAAAACCACCGGGGAGTATTGGACAGGTGTTTCGTCCTAGTTTGCGACTATTCAGCAACACGCACTCAGTGTCAACGTTCAAACCCAGGACCTTCTAGTTACAAGGCTAGTGAGCTCGTAGACCATTGAGCCACTGGGACCCGATCCAATCGCCAACCACTTGTTCTGGAAAGTCCTCCACTACCTCACTTGTTTTAGCTGGTGTTCCTCAAGGTCCTGTTCTCTCTCCCTTTCTGTTTTCGTTTTTCTTACATGACTTGCCTCATTCTGATGTAGCCCACTTTTGTTAAGTATGCCGATGACCTCTCGGTTTCTATGCCTGTCAACTCTCAGTCAGATTGTTTCAAATTAAATAACTTTCTGTTCGAAATTAGTCAGTGGTCCTCTTCAAACGGACTTAAGCTTAATCCGTCTAAATGTCAGGTAGTCAATTTCACTTTCAGACGTAAATGTGACCTACAACAACTAGTTAGCTCACATGGCTCCACTATCATTGACGGCATAGAGGTTGAAATTACATCTAATGTCAAGTACCTTGGGCTGAGCTCCCCCACCGATCTTTCCTGGTCCTCCCACATCTTGCTAGTTGTTAGAAAGATGTTTCGCTTAACGTTCTACATTAGGAAGTTTAAGCAGTCTGGCATAAAGCAGTCTTTGCTTTCTCAGTTTGTCATTTTTTGTATTCTACCCATCCCCCTTTACTGCTCCCCATTAATCTTTCCTGGACTACTTAAGAAAGACTTTGTTTCGCTGAGAAGGGCACTAAAAGCCGTTAGTAGGGCAAATGGGATATCGTTAAACCAACTGGTTAACACTCTTGTGGATAGACATATAATATCATGTAAGAAACTAGCGAATACAATATTGTCGGACCCCGAGCATCCTCTCTATACGCAGCTGTCTCCTTGCATTTCATCTGGTAGAACTAGAAGCAGCTATAGGCGGCTATATGCTAGGACCACCAAATACAAAAATTCCACAATACCATATCTGGTACAGCTGTTATGTGATGAGAAATCCGTTAGGTATGACGCGATCAACTTAATGCGGCACTCTAACAAATAGTCCCATTAGTTTTTGTTTTCTTTTCTTCGTTACTATTATATTGTTGTTCTCATCTTCTATTACACACCAATTTTATATTTCATATCCTGTGGTGCATTGTTTGAAATGTAAACGCAACGCTGTTCTTTTATTTATTTTTTTGATTTTAAAAATCTTATAAAATTTATGAGGTAGTTAGATGCAATATACTGTAATGCACGCTGAAAATGCCATACCTGTACCACAAATACCGTTTGGAATAAAGCTGTTAATATTATTATTATTCTAACTTCTGCTAATTCATGATATAGCGCGATCACTTCTTAGTGTCTTCTTCGATGAGCTACTGTCTCACATTCAACCTGCTGTACCCTACTAGTCACGGCTTCCCACTAGAATCCCAGGCCTGAATAGGGCCAGTCGCTAGTGAGCATCAGATGTACTTCAAAGTATTTGTTTTTGTACGGGTTTAGTCTGATTGGTTAAAGGATGTCATCATGAGCTGACATCAGTTTGTTTTGTCTCTTTTGGTATATGGTGGATAAAAATCCTTTAGAGAAGACGGATTTTTATCTGGTTGATGGTGGCTATCAGTGTAATGTAAGATATGGATTTCTACCCATTTGGGACTCGTCACTGGATACGCCTGTTTCTCAAGCATTGTCTTCAGTATAGCCCATTAAAATAATAGCGACTCATATCCGTTGAGCAAGAGTTGGCTTAATTTACCCAGTAGTTTAGCAGACGACACTTTGGTGTTTGAAACGATAGATGTTCGGTTGGATTTTCAGCGGGAACATCATTCACCACTCACAGGGGAGGCAGGTGCATCCAAATGATTAGTCTCAAACATAAAGAAATGAGCATTCTGGATTCCCCTACTAGCCACTAATAAGCAAAATAACATCAAGTTGATCTTCAGACATAGTCGTTGACATGTCGACAGAGACCCAGTATATAAGAACAAAACATCCATCTATTGCTCTGTAGCTTTTAGTGTTTCTCCAATGGATGTGGATCCATAAACAAACCTGCTTCTAAATCAGTCAAAACTGCACTCAGATAATGCGTCATTTATAACTAATTTGTACAGCAAGTCTTTAATGTTGTGCAATTACACTACCATGTCTAACCCCCCAGAAAATGCAAGTGCATCTCTTCAAATTTCTACATTTCGAAATAATTCAGAGAAAATTAGAAGAGAGAAGTTGTTGATACTAGACAAATGTGAAGAAGTGAGCAACCCGAAGGTGATTAGTTAAAATTTTCATTTACACCAATGTAAGTGCCTTCGACTTATGATAAGCAAGATTTTTAAATCTTGATGTTTAGCATCTTGTAAGCCTAGCCGGTCAAGTTACACCTCCCTATGTAGGATCAAATCACTAGTCATTAGCTTTTTACTTAAATTTTCTGAATACTTCATTGTTCCGACATGTTTTACTAAGGCAGTTTGATAGATGTTGATTATGTAAGAGGGCGGGTGTAGTGCTCATCGTTCCGCTCCGTCCTCCTCTATGACCAGCTGTGAGATCTGGCCATTGAGAGTGGAAGACATAAAAAGATTAGCTGTCTTTGATCTTAGGTGCCTGCTCTCTATCCCCCGTGTAAAGTGGTATAATAAGGTGAGCGATATTGAGGTTAGACATCGGTCAAGTGCTGGCTAAGGAGGGGAAATCAACCGACGAGGCTGTGAAATTACATCGACTGAGATGGCTAGGACATGTGTTCTGTATGCCTAGTCATCGCCTTCCTCGACGGGCAATGTTAGCTGATATATGGTCAGGGTGGAAAAGAGCCAACTAGCGGCGGTCAAACCAAAACATGGCCTCATCGGTCAATGAAATCCACAACATTTAGTTTAAGCCAGTCACGTAGGGAGGTGTAGACTTCCTGACTGGTTGTGGTCCTCGAGACGGTAAAAACCAATGGTTGGAAACAATTGGTGATATGACTCACAATCGTTCTCAGTGGCGAAGATGCATCCACTCCATGAGACTTATGATTTCCAATGAAACTGTTTTGTTCTTGGTTACTACTATTCCTTTGTCTCAAACCTCTGTTTACTGTCTCTATTATGCATTTCTTCTACTTTCTTCTCTTGCTTTGTGTGCTACAAGGAGGGAGTGTGGCAACTGGAACTGCCGCACAAATGTGCAAAGTTCTATATCGAAAACAGACAGACATGTAAGAGGTAATATGGATTTTCCTACATAAAATCATATTTATTGATTAAGAAGTCATTTATGGTGGAGTTGCAGGAATTTCAGTAGTCCTTGAAAAAAATGTCTCAAAGAAATTCCAATAGAAAAGATTTGTAACTCAGGTGGATGATTTGCAATTGCAAATTCCAATAATATGCTTCAGTGATGTATATGATCGTATCGACGGCTAGTGTATTTATGATCCGGCGTCTAAATAAAGAAGAACTTGTTACATAGTGGAGGTTATTATTACATTGGATACAGAAGGTCAGTCAGAGGTTAGTTTCAACCAATAGCTAGTGTCTTAACTTTATCACAGCTACACACAGTGTAGATTATTTCAGAAAAAATCAATAGTTGTGAGCGTATAGTCTAGCTACAATTCGTATAATTGTCCTTTATATGCATTTATTAAAATAATTCAGTAATTATGGGCTTGTTCTGTTCTTATTGTGTGCCACTGAAATGAGCTCTTGTTATTCAACAACCGATCTTATACGATTCTTATACATCTGATATGTACAAACTTATTGGTATGGTTCTGATCTTACCGCATCTTTTGACACACATGTCTCTTGTAAGACTAGGTCGTATAATTTTCTAACAGTATTATTCAGTCTTAGAGAATCCTTGGAAGTAAAGACGGAAGTAAGACAAGGCTGCCTACTATTACCAATGATCTTCCTGATTGCAGTAGATTGGATAATGCGATAGACAACGGGTAATGAGGAAACAGGCATAAAATGGACCCTAACGAAAAACTTGGAATGTCTGGACTTCGCCGATGATATATGTCTGATTTCCAACAAATTGAAAGATTTGCAAGTGAAAACCAACAAGTTGGTAGAAGAAGCATCAAAGATAGGACTTCCTTCAGGTGAACATAGATAAACAGAAGTGATGAAGATTCCTGGTCAACACCAACAGCAACAACAACAGACAACAATCAGCCAGTATAAATGGGAGGAACCTGAAAGAAACAACCTCCTTCATCTACCTACCTACCTACCTGGGAAGCACCGTTTCAACTACAGGTGGACGGAACTGACGAAGATATCAAAGCAAGGATTGGGAAAGCAAGGTAAGCTTTCATTACTCTCATGTTTGTGTGGAGGTCAACAGCCCTTAGCATGAAAAATAAAATCCGGATTTTCAACTCCAATGTGAAGTCAGTGCTACTATACGGATGGAGCAGAGACCTGGCGCGTCATAAAGAGCACCTCAAACAAACTACACACCTTCATCAACAGCTGTCTTCGCTCAGTACCACTCAAGATCAGATGGCTGGACAGAAAAGATCAGCAACAGGGAACTCTGGGAGCGAACCAAGAACCAACTGTGCAAAAAATGTGGTGGAAGAAATGGAGGTGGATTGGCCATACTCTGAGGAAACTATCAAATGACATCACTAGACAAGCCCTTGAGTGGAAAGCGAAAGGGAAGCGGCGAGTTGGTCGTCAGTGGGAGAGTGACTTGGAGGAGCTCATGTGAAGAGGAAATGAAAGCCTCTGGGCAGACTTCGAGCCAGGTGAAAATCTTAGCAGAGAACCCAACGCAATGGAGACTTTTGGCTGAAGCCCTATGTTCCTCTGGGAATTAAAGTAAATAATAATAATTATTATGATTCGGTCTGTTTTTTCATATTCACATCTTCTTTAGATATTAACATGGTGATTCTCTTACAGCATTTCCTGATGTAGTTTATTTAAAAAGCCGTAGTATTTATACTGCTACTTGTACTGTAGGAGTGCAAAGTTAAGGGATACACACTCAGATGGAAGGCACCGATGATTTTGAAATTATTATTGGCTCTACCAAGGACAATTTTAAGACCATAACTCAACCCTTACCCTAAATCTTCGTCTAATCTTATGATGAGAGCTGGCTGAGAACGAGCCAAAATTGTAGACAACAATTTAGGTCTGTGTTACATCCCGAATTGGGTTCATGAGAAAAAAGTTAATAGCAAAGCTTAACCTTGAGGAACTCACCCAAACCAATCACAGTAGACTTAAAGTGTGGAAATAGGATTCGCAGATGTGTGGCTTAACTTTCCGGGAAACGGTCACAAGCGGCAAAGAATAACCCTTAGCAAGAAAACAACGAGTCAGAGGAGGTTACTTCTCCGCTGACAATAATGTACATAAAAATCTATAAATATCTCTTGATTTTCTCAATAAACGATTTGTTGCCTGACCCTTGACCTCTGGCGTTACAACGTCGAACTAACCATATATCTTGTGAACTTATCTTACATTACATGGGTCATATTTTTATGAATATATAGCATTTTAAGATTGTCAGTACGTTTGTTTTCCTGAGTCACTATAATGTCACTTGCGTGGACATGATATGATAAATTTAGACATAATAGCATAGATGAATAAAACTGGGTAACAAGATTATTTTTTGATAAAATTTTCCCACTTCTGACAGGAATGCACTTCCTGAGATGACACATGAAAATTAAGTTAAAGAGAAAATTAGTTGCTATGTATAATTTTGTAAAAGGTGATTAACTTTTTATGTAACTATATTTCTTTTATACTACGAAACTTTAGGCATTATCTTTATGTCTTGGAGGCGCTCCAGCAGGTCCAGCTGGAACGGGGAAAACGGAAACAGTGAAAGATTTAGCCAAAGCTTTGGGTTATCTGTGCGTTGTTACAAATTGTGGAGAAAATATGGACTACAAGGTAATTCAAAACGAGTATTCTTCCCGATTTCCACTGGGACCTCATATTGATGAAAACTTTTTCGGCTCTCACTGGCTAGCTTTGATATTCTCATCTGCACAGCCTTTAGTTTAAATGATGTTGCCAACATAAGTAAAAGAGGTGACTTTGAATTGAATATGTGGACAGATTACTGAGCTTGAACGCTGTGGCTAAGAACAGCAATCAAGTAACGGGAGCAATCAAATCTCCACAAACCATCACTTAAATATCGATGAAATGCTCACTAACGACTTGCCCTATTCAGGTAGGTAGGGGTTACCTGGGCTGGTTCCAGTGAGAAGTCATGACCAGTAGGGTGCAGCAGGTCAGGTGTGAGGACAAATACTTGCCGAAAACACTGGCTAGTTATACGAGCTCGCCTTGTAACTAGAAGATCCTGGGTTCGATCGCCGTTGAGTGCGTACTGATGAAGAGTCCAAAACTAGAAAGAATCGGCTGTCAAGTACTCCCAGGTTTTCCAATGGTTCTCTAACTAATGTAAGCTCATGATGAATTCCTGTAACCAGTCAACTAAATCCCTACAAACCAACACTTAAACAGTGAATATCTTTATTCTTTTATTTGGTCACCCGTGGTAAATTTCATGCTGACAATAACATCGAAAACTATAAACTAAGAAGAACTTCTCATAGCATATTTCGTTGTTTTTAATATCGAGACGATTTGATAGAGATACTTACTGAATTATATGACATAACCGAGTAGATGAATGTGTACCTTAAAGGACACTGGCCACAGTCAGCACTTTAAGTGAATACAACTACTCGCCCACAACGTCTTTTACTTCGTTGAGTCGTGAAGATATCAGAAGATGAATACTTGTTGACAGACCGTTTATCACTGTTTTAAATTGTTGGCTTTCAAGGATATGATTGGTTTCAGGTTAGAACACGGTTAAGGAACCACTTAGAACCACGGAGTACTGGACAGCTGTATCTTCCTAGTCTGGAATTCTTCAGCAGCACGCACCAATGATCTTATCAAGGATCGAATTCAGGACTTTCACGTCACGAGATCAGCCTACCGATCATTCAGTTACTTGGATAGAATCTAATGGCCCATGAATTGTAACCTCTAGTCGACGTCATTGACGAGTATTTATCCATACTGCTTTGACTGTTAATACACTTCGTAGTTTGCGCTAACGAACTTCCTACCTAGTCGAGCCTACTGTTCGAAACACCAACAGCAACAACAATGACACAGTACCATATCACTGAACCTGTGATGTAAGAAGACAAAAGTAGAAGAGAGGCAGTCGACGCTGATAGCTTTCTCTGTCTCAAATCAACAGGAAAAAAAAGTTGACAGAAACTGAGTATGTGTATGCTTTAAATGGCCTTGAGAGACACTAATTATATTCATAAGTTAGGACAGTTAACAACCAATAAGGTTCTAAGGTCATAGGTGTGGAGGGAGGAAATTATTATTATTTATTATTGTTCCCTTGGGTTCCTAGTGGAACATAAGGCTTCAACTCCACGTCTCCACGTGCTTCTGTCCTCCTTCTCTTGTACTTTTCACCTCCATCTATCCATGTTAGTCCATACTGTTTCAACTCCTCTTCACACCATCTCCTCCCTCCATGTCACCCTTGCACTGACGACCCACTCGCCGTTTCCCTTTCGACCTGGTTCCACTCGAGTAATGGCCTGATGCGCGCGCGATGTCACCCAGCTCTACGTCTCCTCAGCGAGTGAGTGTCCAATCCATTTCCACTTTGTCCTGTATATTTGTTGGCTGGAGATTGGTTCTTGTTTTGTTTTGTTTGTTTCCATAGTTTCTTGTTAATGATTCTTTCCGGCCTGGCCATCTGATCTTCAGCATAGAGCGATAATTGACAGTAAGTTGTCGATAAAGGTATGTAACAGGCTGTTGGAAATATTCTTTGTGACCCGCCCACCAAGTTTCTGATCCGTTCCGTATAGAAGAACTAACTGACTTGACGTTTCTATTGAAAATGTGAATTTTGTAGTTGGTGGAGGGAGGGAATACAAATGGATTAATGTCGTATTTAAGAAAAATTAGATCAACATAACATATGCACTCAGTCTGGTGGACCATACTGGCCCCCTACTTCTCAATCACTGAAGAGTCTTCGATTAGGAAGTAGCGGTTGTTTGTTGCTGTTTGGTTTTCTATGGTTCACCAATCATCTTAACCAAATATACAACAAGAATGAATGCCAACTAATGAAATTTGTTGGTAACCATTGATGACGACCGATTTTTTTCCATCACGTTCCCAGTGGAATATAGTGCCTCAAGATAGTGGCCTGAAGTTTCTGTAGCAGTGTTTAATCCTACAGGATGGGGTTGCTAGCCTCATGACCAACCTTAACCTCTTTACCAGCATTACTTCTGGCTCAACGACGTAAAGGAGTGCGTCGGCGGCTGGGGATCAAACCCCGGATCATGTGCATGGTCGGCGAGCGTCCTAACCGCTGTGCCGCCGACACACCGATGACGATTGTTAGCTTGACTTAATTTACTTACACATTAAAATCACTTCACTGTACTCATTCACCTTTCATTTATTTTCTTATGTGTTTTTCTTTTAATATTTAAGTCGTTTGCAAGACTACTTTCAGGCTTATGTCGTTCTGGTGCTTGGGGTTGTTTTGATGAATTCAACAGAATTCATGTATCTGTTCTCTCAGTGGTTTCTAGTCAAATTAAATCAATACAGAATGCTTTAACAGGAAAAGTGTCAACATTTCAAGTAGGTTTCAGTGCAAAAATTGTTTCGTGTTTCTTTTTCTCTCTCACAAAAATGCGTTTTGTTATGCAATCGTATTGTGCTTAAACCTAGTTTATAGACTTGTAATTTATCTTTCCCTGAATATGTTTATAGGCTAAAAAAAATAAGGGTGTGAAAATCGTCTACACTCAGTGCTCTAAGCAGATGGCCTTCTAGAAGTGAAAGAGTAGATATACACCTCTGGGGTATGATACCGATCCATCACGTTGTGGTTGTCGTTAAAGATGATTGTATAGAAGGAAAATATTAAGCTTCAAAATTAAACCATCCGACTGAGAGAATATATAACAAAATCAAATTTCATGCAATCCTTCCCATTAATAAACTTGAACAAAGCAAGAACAACAATTGTACCAGGATAATATGAGCTCATCTTTTATTATTTAATCGAGGATTCTTCTCAAGTGGTTACAACCTGAACGATAAAAAATGTATGAATTACATTAAAGATATGAAGATACCCTTCCACGATCATAAGGAGTAATTGGTAGGAATTATAAGTAACATTAGTCCGGAATGATTTAACTGATTAGGAGTTACAAACACTGACTATTTATAGAATAATTAGACAATTAGGCGTGGAAAAAAAACAGGGTTGTGTATATATGTGTGTGTATGTAGAAACAAGGTTTGGCTAGAAAGAGCATAACAAAAAAAGGTAGATTACGTAACTAAAGAAAGCATCTTATCTAATAGCCAATAGAAAAAAGGAAAGAAAAGAAACAAGGTAGGGTGAGCCATGTTTAGATGAGAGAGTAGAGTTTTCTAATCACGAAAAAGCGTGACTCATGAAAGTTAAAAAAACATCAGGGGACATTTGCAAATTATACATGTGATGAGAAAGTAAAACATTTCGACTGAATAAAAAGTAACCAGCAGGAGTGCCTTGAAGTTTGATAAAAGTTTATTATCACTGATCAGGTTGTCTCGTGTCTCACTGTGTCGAAGATATGTAAGTGAAAACCAAGAATTTGTCAAAAGAAGAAGAGGCAAAGGATAGTAAAGATGCCCAGCCAGCGACAACAAACAAAATCCATAGGCGAAATCTCAACGAAGTTGTTTCCGTTACTTACCTGATCTTGGTCACATCGTTTTAACTACAGATAGCACAGGTGAGGATTTCAAAGTCAGTCGGGAGTGGATTGGAAAATCAAGTGTAGAACTTGGGCACTGTCGTAAAATGTAATTCTATATTAGATAAGTTTATTTTAAATATCACACAGTAATGATGCAGTATTAACAACTGGATGATGCAGTTTTAAGTATAAATTATTGCTCATAATCATATCAATTTAGCCACTCGGTTACATGATTTGTCTCATACATCTACTTTTCATTCTGTCTCTCCAACTTCCCAATTGTTGTTTGTTGCCACTTCCCATATCTCGGGCATAGGCATTGCGTCAGTCAGATTGCAGATGTGCGGTGTTGAATCAATGAAAATCAGTGCGAGGTGGCATAATAAGGTGAGCAATGTTGAGGTTTAGGCGTCGAGTGCTAGGTAAGGAGGGGAAATCAATCGACGAGGGTGTGAAATTACATAATAATAATAATTTTTTGCTTTATTCCAAAAACAGTACTAATGATACAGCAAGGAATTTTCAGCATTCAGTACAATATTGCATCTAATTTACTCAAAAACAACAAAAATAATTAAAAACACACATTACATAACAGTAATAAAACGATTGTTATAGCAGCTACATAGCAAAATACTGTATGCCATACGGAGAAAAATATGCATAAAGTACAAAATTGTAGTAATAATAGTAATACCAACTAAAATAAAATAGCAGAGTTATAATTAAACGATAGAAAGTGTGACACCATAAAATACAGAAAGATGAACGATGAAAGGGTCGATTCACTGTGCTAATTACATAGTAACTTGTAAGTTTCACGTCTAACAGAGTCTTCGTCACATAAAGTACGCGCTAAATAGGGTATTGTAGAATTTCTATACTTAGTGGTACGAGCATATAACTTTTTATATTGACTTCTCGTCCTACCTGATGAGATACAAGGGGACAGGTGTGAATAAAGGGGGTGCAGAGGGTCTGACAGTATAGCCTTTGCCCATTTCGTACAGGAATTTATATGCCTCTCGACTATAGTATTAGCGAGCTCATGCAGTGGCAGACCACAAGCTCTACTCACAGCATTTAATACTCTTCGTAATATGATATAATCTTTTTTGAGAAGCCCAGGAAAGATTAATGGAGAGCAATAGAGTACAATAGGTAAAATACAGGAGTTTAAAAATTGCAAAACTAAAGGTTGGTTGATACCTGATTGTCTTAACTTTTTAATGTAGAAGGTAAGACGAAACATTTTCTTAGAGATAGATAAGATGTGGGATGACCATGAAAGGTCAGAGGAAAGAACTAATCCAAGGTATTTAATGCTTGATTTGGTTTCAATTTCCGTGCCATCTATGCTACAGGGATCATGCGAACTAACTAGTTCAAGTAAGTCACGTCGATGCTTGAAAGTAAAGTCAACAGCCTGACATTTGGAAGGATTTAATATAAGACCATTTGACTTGGACCACTTGTTGATGTCCAACAGAAAGCTATTAAGTTTGGAGCTGTCAGACTCGGAAGTGATAGGCAGTGATACAGTCAGATCATCTGCATATTTGACAAAGTTAGTTTCGTTTGAATGAGGCAGGTCATGTAGGAAGAAAGAAAAAAGAAAAGGAGAGAGGACAGCACCTTGTGGAACACCGGATTTTGTAAGCGAGGTAGAAGAAGATTTGCCGTTATATACAGTATACTGCATTCTATCAGAAAAATAGGAATGCAACCAACTCTTAGCCCAGGATCCTGTTTGTGTCAACGATAGCTTATTTAACAAAAGGCCCCTAGGTACAGAGTCAAAAGCAGATGTGTAGTCTAAGAAAGCACTACGAACATATTTAGCACCTTTGTCTAAACAAGAGACAACATTGTGATATAAGACAACCGCAGCATCCAAGGTACTTCTACCATGTTTGTATGCAAATTGTTTAGGATCATTAAAAGGTTTCAAAGCGGGTTCAAGACGAAGTAAAAGTAATTTTTCCATCAATTTTAAAAAGGGGGAAGTAATTGCAATAGGCCGAAATTTAATATCAGAACCAGAAGATGGTTTTGGTATAGGGATAATTTTAATGTTTTTCCATGCAAAAGGTAGAACGTTACCGGAAAAAGAAGCATTAAAAATGTTAGTAAGAGGATAACACAAAATATCAGCACAATTCCTGAGGACAATGGCAGGTATGCCGTCAGGACCAAGGCTTTGAGAAGGCTTAAGAGACCGGAGACATTTAAGCACATCAAGGGTATTAAAACCACTAAAGTTATTGTCAATATGATTTGTATCATTTGGAAGGGTATCAACAGAAGAGCGTATGAAAGATTTATTAAGAGTGTCAACATTAAGAGATGGAACAGAAATACATCGCTTACCGTTAGTAATTTCCTTGAAAAGTTTCCATACACCGACTGAGATGGTTGGGACATGTGTTATGTATGCCTAGTCATCGCCTTCCTCGACAATGGGCAATTTTAGCTGACATAGGGTAAGGCTGTAAAAGAGCTAGCGGCGGTCAAACCAAAACATGGTACCAGTCAATGAAATCCGCAACAGTTAGTTTAAGCCATATTGGAAGGTGTAGGCTGGCTTCCTAGTTAGGGACCTCGGGACGACAAAAACCAGTGGTTGGAAACAATTGGTGATATGGCTCACAATCGTTCTCAATGGCTGGCGCAGATGCATCCACTCCTTGTGACTTATGATTTCCAATGAAACTATATTGTTCTTCGTTATTACTATTCCTTTGTTTCACACCTCTGTTTACTGTATCTAGTATGCATTTCTTCTTTTGTGTGCTACATGGAAGGAGTGTGGCGACTTGAACTGCCACACGTCGATGCAAAGCTCTTTGTCGAAAACAGACAGACAGACAGACAAACAGAATCAGTGAAAAATGCTTTAGTGATTAACCTCTCTCTCCCTCCACCTAACTATGTAACCCTTTAATACTCACCCTGCCCCCCCCTTTTGTGATTACACTATATTTTCTATTATAGCTTGACTCCACACAGTATTTTTGGCACAAGTATGGAACTTTCAGCATGTGATATTGGTAGCCCACATTTAGCAAGCCAACCATTGAATTCAGGTCTGCGTCGGTGGGGGATCGAACCCCGGACCATATGCATGGTCGGCAAGCGTCCTGATTGCTGTGCCACCAACGCATATGCAGGTGAATGCAATGCAATGGCTGAACTTTTTCCTAAGTTACTTAACTCAACTGGGTCAATTATTCTAGGTCTAGTTATATTTTTATTTTCCGAAAGTCTAGTTGACTGACCTATGTAATTGACCTCACAGTAAGCATTACATGGTATTTAGTAAATTTTATTATTTTTCCTAATTGGATCTTTTTGGTCCTTAAGCCGACAAGGTTTATCTTTGAGTAAGGTGGTTGGTTGGTTTAAATGCCAGCCTGACTAATTCCAGCCTCACTGAGAATCCTACTTAATGCCTCTGACGCTCCTTTGGTATGCAGCAGCATTACAGAGGCCTTGAATTCTATATTTCTTTCGTCATTTTTATTGCTAATCTCGTTTAAACTATGGTTCTTCATAGATTTTTGAATAAATTCTGGTGGGTAGTGAGTTATTCACTAGTAGTATTTGCCCAATTTGTTAGATTTCATTATTTAAAATCTCCTGACTGACCTTGTAGTTAGGCTCTTGGCCCGACTATGCAGACATTTAACTCAACCTACCTTTACTGCTTCGGGATGGGATGAATTAAAGTCTAGGTATTTTGAATTCGAGTGCGTTGGTTTCCTATAAACGCTAATATCCATCTAACTCACCATCTTGTTTTCGTTTTATTCTGCAGTCTAGGCTGGCCAACTCACCCTATTCGTTTTCTAACCCAAAAGTGAATTGGTTTCGGCCTACTATTGAGTTTATATGTGTGGGAAAATGAGGGATATGTTCAGATTTCAACACAGTATAATGTGTCATCCACATATCTCCACCGTAACCTAAGAGCAGGATTAAGCGTTTCAAGAGCCTTATGTTCCCAAATATCCATAAATATATCTGCTATTATTAGCAGTATGGGTGATCCCATTGCCACCCCATTCTCTTGTTTATATATTTTATTTTGAAACTGCTGTGTAGATAGATCTACAGCACTTAGCACTCAACACAAGGAAAAAGACACAAATTTTCAAATTATGTCAAGCCAGTGCTTCTTCGTGGTAGAGAGACTTTGAGCTAGCGTCACCGAAAGCATTTCCAACAGCCTGCTGCAGATTTTTAATCAATAGCCGCCTTAGCTTGCTAACTGTAGAAGATTGGATGGCAAGATCTCTAGCACTGCAGCAAGCCAATCAAGAATTTACTTCCCAATAAATACGCAGAAGGAATGGATCAGACATACACGATGGTTCGACTTTTAAGTGTCACCATAAACCAGACAGTGGACAACAAATGTGAAGCCACAGTTTGAGTGAGGATCTGAGGAGACTATATGAAAAGTAAATCGTGCTATCATTTAAAAAGAATGCAGAGGAAAGATTGGGATAGTAACGGACTTCAGAAGCCCTTCAAGTGGCATCATACTCCAGAGAAGCTGAAGAGTGGAACCTTAGTGAAAAGCGACTACTTTGGTTTGAGTTACGGCGAAGGTCAAGTGAAGAGGAAGGAAGAGCTTGTGGAGATGTACTGCTGAAGTCTTGTGTTCCTCTCCGAACCCAAGAGACGAATAACATAATAATAATGTGATCGGTACTTTGTCGACACTGCTGTGAACATAAATTATTGAAGTGTAGTATTTCTCACAGAGTTATGTAAGGAAACCGCCGCAAAACCTGCCCCGACTATTAGAAATTGAATACTCCTGTGCGTCGGTGGCACAGTGGTTAGGACTATCGCCGACCATGCACATGTTCGGGGGTTCGAGCCCACGCCGGCGCACACCTGATATCTATGGTCGGCCTGCAAAATTTGGGCTGCCGATATCCATGCTGAAAATTCCATACTTGTACCAAAAATAAGGTGTGGAATCAAGCTGTAAATCAAAAAAAATTAAAAAAAAAACAATTCAGCATGATAAATAGTTTTTATTCTTATTTTATATGTGCGATTTCCAGTTTGAAGGTGCAGAAGTTTTACTTAATCGTCGTGTGGGTATATTCATTACAATGAATCCTGGTTATGCTGGTAGAACAGAATTACCGGAATCTTTGAAAGCTCTCTTTCGACCAGTTGTTGTAATTGTACCCGACTTAGAATATATCTGTGAAATTATGCTATTTTCACAAGGATTTTTAACAGCTAGAGTAAGTGCCATTTGTATTATTGATTTTAGTAATATTGTCTTGAAGTGTTACAACATTTATGATTGTATATTTCTATGCAAAGTTCCACCATGTTCTATTAGTTAAGCCAAATTTTATCCATATCTGAATATTAAAATCCATATTTTAGGTCATAAAAGCATTTATCTAATTAATTCGTAATTTTTAAATTATATTATATGAGTATTTCTCAATGAGTGAAAAACAAAATTGGAAATTCTCTCTGGTTTACACTAAAACCAAAATCTTATATACCTTCAAGATTCTACGGTCAACCAAAGATACATAAACCCACAGTTCCATTAAGACCAGTAATAGATTTCACCAACTCACCGACATACAACCTTTCTAAATACTTACTCTCGATACTACAACCACTACAAAAGGACACTCAAAATATTGTAAGAAATTCATATGATTTCAAATCTCAAATAGAACACCGAGAAATTGATAAAGAAGACATTATGGTAAGCTATGCTATTAACTCACTATATACTAGCATCCCTATTACCGAAAGTCTTGATATCATTTCCAGTCTACTAGAATCAGATACAACACTATCACAAAGATGTCCACTAGACACCAGCGAAATAATTAAGAGCTTAAAATTCTGTCTAGAAAATAATTATTTTACATTTAAAGGGAGTTTATATAGACAGACAAATAGTGTTGCTATGGTTGCACCACTCTCCCCAATAGTCGGCGACCTTTACATGAATAAATTCGAAAATAATATCTTTTCAAGCATACTCACTCCTAAAATGTGGTTAAGATATGTGGATGATACTTTTGTAGTACTAAAACGAGATCTACACAATTCATTCCCGCAGAAAATAAACTGTGTATCTCCCAAAATCCAGTTCACTTTGGAAGCAGAATCAGACTTTCGATGAACTACCATTTCTAAACTGCCAGACTAGTTAAGAGGAGGGAAAAGGGACATTTTAGTATATCTATATTCAGGAAGAAAAGCCACTCCAACAAGAAATATTTAGACTTCGGATCATCACACCCCATCAGCGAAAGGTTATCAGTTGTTTCAAGTCTTCTTAGACGAGCACACTCTCTGATAACAGATTAGAAAGAAAAAGAAGAGGAAATATCAAACATTGCTGAAACTCTCAAGCAAAAGGACTTCATTAACAAAACCAACACTGATATTAAGTGTGGTCAAAATCGTATTCCGAAAACATGAACATCAACAGTTGTCATTCCATATAGAGCGGAGACATCAGACAATATCAGAAGAGTACTCAATACGCTTGACATCAGAGTTTTCTTCATAACACCAGACGCATACACTATAAAGCAACCTTGTCCATATAAAAGGCCGAATCCCTGAAGATTCTCTATCTAATTGTGTCTATAAAATAAAATGCTCGGAATGTGATGTGACCTACATCGGACAAACATCTCGAGAAATCAAAATCAGAAGAAATTAACACCGTAGAGCTTCTCTTCGACCACCAAGAAATCCAATCAAACTAGAAAAACTTCAAAAATCATCAGCCAAAGGTCTACATGCTACGCTATAGAATCAGGCCACAAAATTGATTTTGACAATATTGAAATAATCCAGAAAAACTTCAGAAACCACAAAGAACGTCTAATATCAGAATCACTTCATATCAAGTGGAATCCGAATTGCCTGAATAGGAATGATGGACTGAAACAGAATCTGACCTGGCTACAACACCCTCCCCCATGAAGTAACAAAATCAACGCAAATGTGATGAGCAAATTCACTATGTAAACACACACTACTACACACTGATAAAATCCAACAATCTACACTTGATTTTGTTATCTTTACCCATTGGCCAACTTGAAAACAAAAAAACGACCCAGACTGACGAACGATGATCAAGTATTTCACAACCTACACTTAGTTTGGTTACCTTTACCCTATCTCCAACTTGACAACCTAAATGATACCAGACTAACGAACGATGATCAAGTTAGTAAACTTTATTTTGATATAATAACAGGTATATTATTACCTTCGATATTTGGTTTGAACGATCTTCATTGTTATTTTGACTTTCAATATGTCCTTTTAAGTTGAACTAAATCTATATTTTTCTCACCCCCTAACTCTTTGTTATATATATGCTGAGATTTGTAAATTCCGGTTTAATAATACTTTGAGAAAGCTATTAGCATTAAATAGCGAAACGTTAGTAAAAACAACAATATCGTTTTGTTTTTCATTCATTGAGAAATACAAAAACCTTTATTATAATGAATATCATATACCCATTGCCCAAATTTTTTCAAACCGTTAAAAGTGAACTTGGTTTGGACATATATATATATATATATTATATGAGGTTAAAGTTCACCACAGTTCCCTTTGGCGGTCAATACTATTCAAATCACATTATGTGATCTACTCGATGACATAAGTGGTAATTAGGAAAGCAAACAAAATAGTATGTTGGCATGTACTACTGTTTGAAATGAATAATTGAAAGCTACTCACATCATCCAGTATTGCTTACTGACTAGATCAAAGTCGTCTATACACCACTGCTTTGTATTACACGTTCGCCTAAATAGCTAACCAGAATTCAGATGGTGGTGGTGGTGGTGACTGATTCGGCTCTCTCAGATATAAATCAAACCGAGTACACTACAGATGAGCTCGGACTCAACTTAATGATGAAATAGTCTTCATCAAAAAATGGTAATTTTAAGGTCTGTTACATGCTACCGATGTACTTCTTGATACAGACTTCTACCACAGTTATTAATCCCTGTTAGGTGTTAAATGTGCTTGACGTTGTTAGTTTTTATACCGCCATTACTATGTTAAGGTGCCCACTGTCCTATCTTACATTGGTGTAAGTAGTCATTCTTCAAACACCGGGATGGGAGTTAGAAATATTCCTCACCCATCGATGTCTGAGCAGCCAAGTAGTATCCTCAATCCCCACAGAATCAACGTAACTCGTTACTAAATAAAATGTGTACAGATTACCAATTGATTTCAAGTTTTATCTAATTAAAGTCTGCAAATGATGAGTGAATCTCATTTAGTTGAGAAAAACAGTTTGGTAATGCATTCCATTAGTTAGGAAAATAATCTAGTTTCATACTAGTTTGTTTATTAGATGATGTATCACACAATGAGTGAAACAGTATTACTTACTGGATGACAATGTTTTGAACAAAATTTATTGTGCTTCATAATCATTTCATCAATTATAATCACACGAATTCGAAACTTGAGTTTTATAGTTTTCTTTGTTCACCTCCTATTTGTCGTCATATGGGTAGTAGAATTTTCCAGATATCTGGGTGGAGAGGTGTTGAATCATTCCTATTACATGTATCTGCAGTTGACTTGATAAAAAAAGCCTGAGTCAGTCATCAATCTTTCCCTCCAGTCTGTTACATTAGATTTTAAAACTATCCTCTTATCCCAGCCATCCCATTGTATGGTTGTTTGTAATCTCATGTAATGCTATTTTTTTATGCCTTCACGTTCCCATTGGAACATACGGATTGAAGCTAGAGCTTTGGAGTTACAGTAGCAAGTATACAATTGGTGGACGGTGGCTAGCAGTGGAATCCAGGATGCGCATTTCGTCCTATTTGGGACTCGTCAGCCGGATGTACCTGCATTTCTCGTGGCTCTCGTGGCCCAAGTGGTCTAGTAGATAACGCTTTGGCATTCAAAACTATAGGTACTGGGTTCGAGCCTCGGTGGGAACATCATCACTCACTGAGAAACGCAGATACATCCAGCTGACTAGTCCCAAGTAGGACGAAATGCGCATCCTGGATTCCACTGCTAGCCACCATCCACCAATTGTATACAAATCAAATCCCCAGACATCGTCGAAGCATCTGCACAAGAAGCCGACATGTCAACCTGAGACCGAGCACTTCGGTCCAATCAATCGACGGGAAAAGCAAAAATTCAATTCAATCATTACAGTAGCAAGGTTTATTTTTACAAGATGAGGTTGTTAGCCTTATGCCCGACCTTCCCTCTTTAGTAGTCTTATTACTGGCTTAGTGAGGGAAAGGAGTGCATCGGCCGAGGATCCAACCCCGAACCATATGCGTGGTTGGATAGCATTCTACTGCTGTACCACCAGCGCACTGAATGTTCTATACAAGGAGCAAACAGTATGATTCAACACCTGTGCAGCTGGGCATCTGGCAATGCATTCTTCTACCCCTACGACGACAAATAGGAGAGAACAAAGAAAAATATAAAACTCAAGTTTCAAAGTAGTGTAAATACAATTGATATGAATATGAGCAATAAATTTTGTTCGAAACTGTGTCATCCAGTAAATAATAATACTGTTTCACTGTGTGATATACCTGATAAACAAACTAATATGGAATTTTGATAGAGAAAGAAAGACCAGATTTGCAGTATAAAATGATATCATTCTATTTCACAGGTTCTCATAAGCTGCAAACTACCTGAAATTACAATGGTTATAAATAATAACATTTCATACGACGTGACTGCCTTATTCATAAATGTACCAGTGATAGAAACAATAGATATCATTTGTAAGCAAAGAGATCTATTGCCACTATCGGAGTCGGAGATGAAACGGCTACTAATTCTTTGCACAAAAGAAATCCAATTTAGATTAAATAACCAATTCTACCGACAAATTGACGGGGTCGCCATGAGTTCACCCCTAGGACCCATTCTGGCAGACATCTTCATGGGCTATCTCGAACAGACAAGACTGAGTGACTCTATCAATGGAACAACATACTACTGTCGACAAGTCGGTGATACTTTTGTTGTTTGTAACGACATGAGTCAGGCATCTGTATTATTTGACCGCCTAAATGAGGTCCACCCAAATATTAAATTCACCATAGAATACGAACACAACGATGAGTTTAATTTCCTGGACCTAAATGTAAAAAGAAGAAACGATGGAACGGTCGAAAAGTCCATCTACAGAAAAGAAACTTGGACCGGACAATACCTTCATTATAAC